TTATACTCCAACTACCACGAAGGCCTGAGGCCTAAGCACCCATTGGGTACCGTGGGGCTATGGGGGATACATGGGAAAGGGGGGACGCCACACGGACTCTGGCGAGGGAACACGTGTGCATGCAACATGCACACATTCTGGCTCCGCCTACGAGAACCGCCGGGTGGTACCTCCGCGTTCGACAGTCAGAGACCATCTACCACCTACGGACAATCACAACATCCATGGCCAAGAGAAACATTTCTCCTGGAGACGGGAATCGAACCCGCACAGCGCACGGCGACTGATCAGGAGACCGAAGAGTCTACTACTGCGGCCACCGCTGCTGCCTAAAACAAACACACAACATCCATGGCGAAGGCGAGATTCGAACTCGCGGCCCGGCCGGCCGGCTGATCAGTAGCACGACACTCTGACCCACGCGGCCAACCGAGGTCCCGATTTTGTTTAGGCATGCACGATGGTCGTGCCAGGGTTAGAAGGCGACGTGGTGAAAGGAGGAATCCACAGTTTTTTGTTGAAAGACATGTTCATCACACTGTTGGAGTTATGGTTTGGGGTGCTATAGCTTATGGTTCCAGGTCACCTTTAATCTTCATCAGAGGTAACATGAACGTGCAACGTTATATCCACGAAGTTCTAGAACCCTATCTTTTACCCTATCTTGACACCCTGGCAGATCCAACTTTCCAACAAGATAATGCCCGACCACATGTTGCAAGAGTCACAATAGACTTCTTTCAACATAATAATGTCACATTGTTACCATGGCCACCAAGACCTCCCGACTTATCCCCAATTGAGCACATGTGGGATATGATGGGTAGGAGATTGCTCAATTTGCAACGTCCTCCTCAGACTCTAGAAGCACTTCGAGAGGAGTTGGTGGTTGCCTGGAATGAGATACCACAGGAGGACATTGACTACCTGATCAGAAGCATGCCTAGGCGCGTTGGAGAATGCGTAGCACATCATTGTGCATCCACACATTATTAAAGGTCAAAGGGCTTTAAAGCAGTGCAATCATTTTGAAATTTTTATCATTTACTTATTATGCTTCATTAAGTACTTATACAAAATTTTATTGAAGTAAAACCATTTAAACTGGGTGTTCGGATTTATATGTCACTTAGTATATTATTATTACTGCTATTATTATTATATAAGTTTAATCAGTTCAAACTTTTACGACTATTTTTACGACTAAGCTACTTGGATAGGGATACTGAGTATTTCGTAGCAAACCTACTACTATAACTAAAGCGCAATATCAGATAATTATTTGTTAACATGAAATGAAAGGAGATAATACGCGGAAGCCGCATAGTTAAATGCATAACCTTTACAATGATACTGTCAAGGTTAAAATCTAAGCATTTTTTACAATCAGATAAAACTGCTATCCATGATTATATAATACTTTGAATAGATAAAAAGGTATATCTTTGTACCTGCAACCACATATTGACATAATACCTACACAATAAATACGATAGATAAATATACTTTATTGTCTAAAGAATACAATCATTCTTAATGACAAAGCTAACTTTAAACTACAACATGATTACATATTATGTGGATTTTAAGTAGGTGAAATCCAGAACTCACCCAAGGCATTATATGGTTTACATATTAAAAAGTGTTTAAGATCACGGCGGAATATACTTGTTGTTAATTCTTTTATAGCATCAGGGAGATACATGTAAATTTTCAGACCATTATAAATTATTGAGTCTTTCACAAGTGTTGTTTTAGGTACTACTAATATTGAAGATCTTGTTTTCGCCTAATTTTATAACATGTGTTTGGAATAAATTTTTTTTAAGTAGGAGTTGCTGCTTTTAAAATGTAGAATAATACGACAGTCATTTTAAGATTTACAAATACAGGTCTAGGATTGCTTTTAGTTATATATCTAACAGTTCGTTTTTGTGCATTAAACACCTTTCGGGAACACACCAAAAGGGAATGCTATACCTATACTTAAGGCTATGCTTTTCCCTAATTGTTTTTATAATGAAGTAAATCTTTGCTAGTTGAGCAAGCAATTTGTCTACAAGATTAGCGAAATCTAATTTCAAATGATCAATGGCCAGTCCTAAGAATTTGATGGTTTGTGTATCAATTCATTATTCAAATTTATAAAATCAAGCGAGCATTTAAATTTCATAAATTTTGTCTTATTAACATGAGATACATAGTTGAACGAAATAAATGATAGTACATTATGCAGAGGACTGTAAGAGACCTTCCTCACCGGGACGTCATGACGAGGTCGCCAGCATCCGTAGCCAAAATGACCTATTCCAATATACAGGGTTTGTCCGGAAAGCAATAGGACTGAGTCGATTTAAAAAAATTTATTGAGCCAATCGTTACAATTCTTTAGAAACTTTCAAAATAGGCTCCTTCTGCGTCGATGCAGCGCTGTCAGCGCGATTTCCAAGCATTGAAGGCGTCACGGAAGGCATTCTCCGGAATAGCCTTGACAGCCGCGGTGTATGCTGCTTGGATCCCCTCTGTCGTCTCAAAATGCTTGCCTTTCATCGGACTTTTCAGGCGAGGAAACAAAAAAGTCCGGGGGGGTCAGATCTGGGCTGTAGGGCGGCTGCGGAAGCGTTGGGATGCCGGCCTTGGTCAGGTATCTGTTCACAAGAAAGGCGGTGTGAGCCGGGGCGTTGTCGTGGTGCAACTTCCAGTCGGCTGCGATGTCTTATCGGACCCGACTGACCCTTCGTTTGAGTATCCTGAGCACTTCCACGTAAAACCTGACGTTGACGGTTTGTCCAGGAGGAACAAATTCATGGTGGACGAGGCCTTTGATGTCAAAAAAGACAATGAGCTTCGTTTTCACTTTGGATTTGCTCATTGTTCCCTTTTTTGGGCGAGGAGAAGCCGTCGTGTTCCATTCGGAAGATTGCCTCTTTGTCTCGGGATCATACTCAAAGATCCACGACTCGTCACCTGTGATTACGTTAATCAAAAATTGGGGGTCACTTTCACACATGATCAATTTTTCTTGGCACACTTCCACTCGCCGCAATTTCTGGTCGTCAGTGAGCACTTTTGGGACCATCTTCGCGCAGACCTTGCGCATGTTCAAATGGTGTGTCACAATGTCATGAACGACAGATTTTGGTAAATTTAACATCTGGGCAATTAAACGAATACTTAGTCGACGGTTTGAGTTCAAAACTTTGCGCACACGAGTAGCATTATCGGTGTTTGTCGAAGTCGAAGGTCTTCCAGCACGGTCTTCATCAGCGACCTCTTCCCGGCCCTCCAAAAAGGCCTGGTGCCACCGAAACACACCACTTCTTGCTAAAGCAACACCTGGGTAAGCCTGCTTGATCATATCAAACGTCTCCGTCGCAGATTTGCCGAGTCTCACACAGAATTTAATAGCGTACCTCTGCTCTAACGAACGCTGCATTTTCGGCTTACACCACTCATAGAAACACGTGGCGTGAAAATGCCTGCCCTGACTCTCCAAGTGCTCGGAGACAACTGACCAGCCGCTCATGCGTTAGCCAGGAACGCCCTCTACCGAATCCAGTCGGTGGGCACGCGCTCCGAAGTACAGTCATGGCGGAAGAAAATGAGTCCTATTACTTTCCGGACAATCCCTGTATGGCAACCATTTCACGGTTCGAGCACCAACACTCGCGTTGACGCTAAAACAGAGAAATCAGGGATAGCAGAACACGCATGGAGAGAACACCACGAAATAAACTGGGAAGACATCAAGACCATACATACATAAAGAAGCACACTGGTATCGTCGAAACTTCAAGGAGGCAGCTTACATATCCAGCAACACCGACGTGCATAGTAATGCCAGCATAGAAATTAAGCCAATATGGGAGCCTATCATCAGCAGCATTAAAACGCTACGATTGGAACAACCAGGACAGACCTCTTAAAGAACACGACATTATCGCCGACCAGCTACATCACCCAGGGCACATCATCACATACGACACGTCAGCGATAACAACAATTAATAGCCGTGGAAGGAACCTCTATGAAAATTCACATTAAGACGATTAAAGATAACGTGTCAATCGAAACGTAATTTGAAAAATTGTATGGGAAATGGTGGGCCAAAATAAAACTTTTGAAACTATAGGTTAGTTTGGCAAGAATGCTATGCACATCTTAAATGACAAACAGTACTAAAACCTTGATATGCTAGATTATATATATAAATATATTGGTGGTTAGGACCCCACGTTGAGAGAATTAAAAAAAGTATAAAGAGTCCTCTTTGCTTAAATTTTGTCGAAGTACCCAACAAAAGGCGGAAGCTTTAATTTTTCAACTATATATATATATATATATATTTAAATGAAAGACTTGTCTTTGGGGATATCGACAAATTAAGCAAAGTGTACCCTTCTGACTTACAAATACTCAAGCTTTAATTTAACTAGTTATTATCGACAATAACTATGAATAGTATATATATATATATATATATATATATATATATATATATATATATATATATATATATGTTAGCAAATAAGCAGAATGATTAATTTACTCAATCCTATACGTTTCAGCAGTTGAGTTTCTAATTACTTTGTTCTTATTTTTATTCATGTTAATTACCAGATAACAAACATTTCTTGCGGCTGTAGATCATGATCGGATTTTGATTGTAATAATTCTGTTTAAAATTCTATTCGTAGGAAAAATTGGTACCAAGACTGTTGCAGGGCACAATAAAATTAATATTCAGAAGATTAAAAGTGCACTTTTTACCGGTTAGATTCTACTCTATTGATACCAATCAACCCTTTCCTGATACTCTGTGGATCGAAGTTCTCCCTCAATATTTACTTTTTTGTCACTTCTGGGATTTAAACAAACAGAATACAACTGAGACTCGATTTCAGGTTTTTCATTTCCTTAAAACTAAATGATTTTTGGTTTTTCTTATACGCTAAGTTGTCCCCACTCACACTTTATGTTAAACAAAGAAGTTGCCATACCATCCATGTTCCCAATCCAATTCCGGGCATCTTCTTGCCTCCAGGCATATCCTTGTAAACCATACCCATTTTTACGCACGTAAATACAAAAATCTAGCGGTAGGCGACACTTCTCTAGTAAGTACAGGAATGACGGTTCCGTTATAACTCGCTTATATTTAGTGGCCGATACACGGCTGCAGCTACGATAGTCAGTGAAAGTTTAATTATAACCCAGTGAAATTAAATAAAGTAGATGACACATTGGTAAATGTGAGTGTTAGTCCGGTAATTAATGGATATCCAACGATATACATTTTTTTAGACATTGCAAAATTGATCATTCGCTCATAGTAAATAATACGCCTAGACCTTGCGTTGATCTAAAGCCAAATTGACGGAATCATTACTGGCGGAGAAAAGAAAAAACGGTATATTTTTATACCGAAGCAGCCGCGCAGGCAGAAGCCTAAATGCCAGGGCACCGCTGCTGCTATAGCATCAAGAAACTTTGTTAATCCAATTTTTGAACTGCATGAGGTTAGTAGAACTGGGAAAAGCCTCCTCTTGTAGATTGATCCACAATCTCGACAACTTTGGAACAAACGAGCGATCTATCGACCAGTTCTGTATGTACGAAGTTCGACACGGTTAGGATGGGAGGTGAGTGTGTCTGGCAGTCACATCGCGCGGCGGCATCATGGTGGAGGGCTTTGAGGAGCAAAGCCAGTTGGTGTAGCAGTAGAAGAGAGCTAGATCGCCGACGGCCCACCGGTGCAAAAGGGTCCCGAGATTGTAGGTTAGAGAGTTGGACATGAGCTAGTTTCCAGTTCGTAAGATGTCTGACAGAGACGCGGAAGAACTGGAACAGGAGTTAAGTCCGGACCAGAAATGTTACTTCCCGCATAGTGTAGGGAACCGTTTGAATCGACGGACTTTGCGGGGAAGGGGACGTCCATGGTGGAGTTGGCAGCAAAGATCTTGACAAGCACTTCCGCCCCAGCTTCGGAGTCGGTTACAATAGTCACATCCTGGCACGTAAGTGGTGGAAATCTACCCCGTGAGAAGCTCCTTTCAATATGCTTGGCCAGCGTCCAAAATGACTGTCACTGTGCTGCGACTTTACCCTGTGCCTAATTTTATATCGTGCTGGTCGGCTTGTCTGTTCTATAGATAGTGCGGTTTTGTAAGAAGGTTCTGTGCGCCTTGATCTTGCGATTGGCTACAATTTATCGAAATGTCTGAGCCCTTATGAGAAAAATGATACTTTTCACATTATTTGAATGTCAGAAAAACAATTGTAGAAATTAAAAAAAAAATGGTGTCAAGTAGGATGACTCTGCACTTCCCACGCTAGACTGTCATCAGTTCATAAAGGATTATTTTCGGCTCAAGTTTCCCATCTAAAAGAATGTTAATTACGGACATGTTCAACAAAAGAATTAAATGAATCAAATTATTCAAATAGACCCATAAATTAGTCCTTAGTGCGATCTGATCACAGTCGTGTATGTAGGAGGAAGGAAGGAAGGAGTTAGGAGGCGAATATCAGATGTGACATTGATCGTGGATTGTTATATCTTATATATCTAAAGAAAATACCATCAAGCAGTAATGCAGTGTGTTAATCCCTATGAGAACCAGACAAATCTTACAAATACAGGTTTGATGACTAAACCTCAGCAGCAGTCATGACGAAACGGTTTCGTTGTGCTTGTTCGGCGGATATTAATGAAACAAAATGTCGAATTGAAGCAGATATTGGAAATACTACCATTCTGCATTAGGGATACATGTGCGCGGAAATATATGTGTGATATGATTACATAAATAGAATTATCGGGGTTAGAAGTATATACATAATATACTAACGCCAAACAATTGAAATAAACCCCCAATACTTCTTCCAGCCCTACCCTCACCACCACTGTATGAAATAATTTTCCATGTTTGATAAATAACTGGACTAACGTTGGAGTTGGATCATGTAAAATTTGTGTCTTTGAATTATTCTTTGTCAAATATTCGTATGACAATTCGAAGGTAATGGGGATTTGAAATACGAGTATTCAATGAAAAAGCTGGTAAGTCTCCAGTTTCTATTGTACTCAGGCGAACGGTATGGAAGCTAAGCGCGCGCCTTAAGTGTTGCTGCTAATCCTCCCAAAAGTGAACTTTTTTTCAGATTCGCACCGTAGCGTCGTAGAAAAGCAGTTGCTCTAGCAAAATACTTTTCTACATCCCGTGCAAAGGCTGCCTTTTTTTAGCTGTCGGCTCGCAGAGTAACCATCTACTTTGGTAAAAAGCTTTTCTACTGTACGTTTTACTGGTTAACAATATAATGCTGAAATTTTCTTCACCACGGTGCTAGAATAGGTGGAACCTCGAGAGACCTATTCGAAAATTGGTGAATAAAGACATGCACTTGCTTTCATACAGGATGGGCGAAACTGGCAGCGTCGGAATAAAGAAAGTAGTTACAATCAGGTCTTGCGATATATGTTGCAGGATACAATCCATACGTTAATCTCCCATGTTTGGGTGTATCAAACCACAGTCAAACATGGGAGATCTCAGAATCAATAAAATTTAACTTCAAAGTTTCAAATTCTGAGTCAAAGTCCGTTGACGTCAAAAACCTTGACATTTAACTTCAGGGTTATTGAAGTCTGACTTCAGAGTCAAGATAACCTTTAAATTCAGGTCAATGTCACTTCAACTCGAGGCCTCAGTTCAGGGCCACTGATCTTCGATCATAATCATTGACTTTGATGTCAGTGACTTTTGATTCTTGGATCAATGATCTATGACTATCTGTCAGACAGGCATTAGCTCTCAGAAGCGCTGATGCAGCCGATCCAGTTTTGATTCGCCGATCCCCCTCGCTCACTCAAAGGCTTGATCCTCCTTGTTCTCAATTAATGTGAGGGTAGGGCGCATATTTCGTCAGTGAACTATGAGATGATATAGAACTGGTTGGGACCACCTGAATGACAGCAACGATGCTATGCAGATTGGATTTGATATCACAATGTGGCTTCTCCAAGAACGACTTTTGACTTCAAGGTCAACGACTTTTAACTTCAGAGTCAATGGTCTTTTGGCTTTTACCACAAAGCCACAGGCCTGGGAGTGAATATCTGCTATTCATTGACATTCAATGTTAACTGTAAACTATCTGAAGCTCACTTGATAGAATACGGTGTTCCGCACTGCAACGTCAGTGCCAACCTAAGGTTCAAACCTTTGAGGTGTCTGCCTAATGAAGTTAATTTCATCATATTATATTCTTTATTCTATCCAACAACATATAGACTACCTTCTTTCAACGTGTCAAACAAATAAACTTGCAAAGTAAAATTTATCCAGACTGGATTCTTTAATCCACCCGGCGACATTGACTAACACATTTAAAATAAAAGTTAATTTATCAGACCCTATGCTATTTCAACATAACGCGTAGCTGTCATATTGCCTTGAACAAAGAGAAGGGATGATCGGCTACCATAGGCAATAGCCCCCCAAACCATTACTCGAACAGTCCTCTGTACATGCCTCTCAACAGGAAATTGAATATCACGTCGTGCTCCACCGCGGCGTCTTACCTTTCTACGACTATCGTGCGTATCTAGACATAATCGCGATTCATCGCTGAAGATGACATTATGCCATTCTCTGCTCCAGACTAAGAGATAACATTTTAACAAAGGTAAACAAATACAAAGATAAAAACGTTGACATTGCCGCCACAGCATGCTTTAAATAGTCACTATGCTGGCAAAAAAGCTCCTGCACGGACTACACATTTTTTACAGCGGTTTGGAAACTTGTATATTACTTGGTCGCAAAAATTGTATCATTAACAAATTGTGCAAGAGTCTCTCAACATCTTGATCATTTTTGAATCAATAGAGGCAGCGTGGCAAATGTGAGGGCGGTGGTTAAGGCTTTCTCAATGCATAGCTCCTAGTTTTACTTCAGTAAGCCAGCTGCATGCAGAAACCGCATTATTTACTTCTATAAGTGGCTTTTGCTGCCTCCAACACTTGACAGTAGTTATGCAGAATCGTACGTCGGTTATCATAAATAGCACCAATGTTAACACCAGATATATACTTGACCTTGGACGTCAATTATGCCTCACATTGTCCACTGTTAATCTTTCCGAATCAATCAAGCACTCGAGATTCGGACAGGGTATTATTCTCAGTATCATTCCCTAGTTAAAAACTTTATTACAACCCGTTGCGCTACCGACGGTGGGATATGTTGCTTCCTTTTACGGCTGAAGAGACGAATGAACTGACAGAAACAGTTGACAAGGATTTTCCCACTCCTAATGCACTCACTACAGGGCAAGAACCGGTGAGAGCGCTTGTGATTCATAAATGATCCAGCCTCGTATAAAAAAGCTATTTACAAACATGTATAACAGAGGAATTAAGCGGATCAAGTCCGTCAAACAGGTACGTAAAATTGGTCCATAACAACCTTTTCCTGCACTACCCGTTCATCTGGCAAAGTCGCGTCGCCTCTCCCCAATATCTGCAAGCATGATGCCTCACATGCGGCGTTCAAGTGAGACAAACCGGATTGGTAAGGAATCTCCAGTCACTTTATAGTTGCACCACGCCGTCTCGTGGGCACCTACCAAGGTACCACCGTGCGAGGACAGTAACCTGTATACGATTTTTAGGATAAGCGGATCCGCAACAGCGAGTATGTTCAGTAAACAAATTAAAAGAGAGCAAAATGGGCGCTTGTTTCCCTAAACGCCGCCAAACGGGGCATCAAGCAGATTGAAAGAACAAAGCAACAGTTGCGAGGTTAGGATTGAATTTACCTCTAACAGTCGATTCTTAATATATATATATATATATATATATATATATATATATACACCTTAGGAAAAACCATTGTTATACATGGGAAATCATTTCTTGGCAACAGCGCATCGGCTTGCCTACTTTCATCGCTATTCGTACATATTTCCTACAGTTAACCGCAGACCTGTATCACGAATGAGAATAATAGGCAGATACGCTGTGTTGCCAATTTGAGTAGAGCTTCCCGAATTGTGGGGAATTTAGAGTTAAGTGTTGATTCATTCAAGCTTTTAATCAGCATGGCCTAGACGTTAGAAGTTCATAAAGATAACATTGAAGCTGAATGCTGCTGGAGTATAGTGTTTCGAATATTCAAAGCGGAGCAGGACACTATACTCGTTCAATGGGTCATAAAGCCACAGTCTTTTCAACAAAGAAATTATTTTACGAAAATTATATTTTTACGATTTTGTCGTCACCAAATCTCTGTTTCTCAAAATGTACGTCTATTGTAGAATTTTCAGCACACTAAGCAAGAAACGTGATCTAGTATTTACTCAACATTATGGATTTCTCGAAATACATTAAAAAATGTGACCTAGATACCTAACTGCCCCAAGCTCTTTAAATATAACACCTTAAACCAGGGTTACCAGGTGCTCAGTCACGTTGATTGTCATGTTGTACTGCGCAAGTCAGCAAACAATCTGGCGTAATAAACGTTAGGAATCATCAGGTATTGCCAGATTCCCGAATACCGGGCACCATAACCATAGTAACCGTTATAGTTGTCCTTCAAAGTTGTCAAATCGCCCCTATGGCGCAAATTCGCCACACCAGGCAACTGTGCTATAAACAAACCCTGTTTATCACTACTATTTGATAGCCATATGGTAGTTGTAGCCCTATCTAGCGGTCCATGATTTCTCTCAATACTGTTGTATCTCTACTGGCAACAAGAATAGGGATTACAAAATCATTTATACAACAATATACAAACATGAAAAATATGATTTGAACCATGAAACATTAATACAATTTTAATAGTTTGAACTTTTTTCATTTTTGAAATACTCTTATGTGGAATCCGCAGCTATTTTTCCCGAAATTTGGGTAGACTTAGTAATATGACATATTGGTATCGGCAACTCTGCGAATGGGAGAAACAAATCGCATTTGTTGAGCGCACCCGTCTAAGCGGTAGGCGCCAGCGCCCGTTCTGCCATCTTTCTCTTTTATCACTCTTCTACTTTACCCCGTTGTCCGTCACACTCCGATACGCTGCCACATAGGATCCTACAATCGAGTGTCTTTCACGCACCTACATACTTCTGTATATTTCCATCTCTCTTCCTCATCATAATGTATAATAATGTTTTTTCCCAAGGTGTATATAGTAAGCTTGTGAAGTCAATATCACTAAACTACACCCTCCCAACGACGTCCACCATTCTTGTATATCCTTTAGGGCCGATCGCATAATTGTACTTGGACCAGTTAAAATAGTATTAGTAATCATTGCAGAAAACACTATCTAATCAATCTTGAAAAATTTTGAAGCTAATATAGTCTTCTTATCAACCTTCTTTAAATTTGTTTAAATGAAAGACGAATTTGCAGACAATCATTTATTGAAAGAAAAGATAGAAAAGTAATAAGCATTTCAATGAACTTAATTTCAGTTCTTTACACAATATAAAACCAAACGATGTATTTTGGAACCAATTTCCATGTTTATTACATTTCTAACTACAAAAAATACAGTAAGGGGATATAAGAGGAATCTTAAATATATTATTAGTATATATCTAGAAAACAACGGATTGTTATTTTTTTTTTCAAAAGGATTTTGTAAATAGATGAGGGAGGAACATCTAAGAAATACTACATTATGTTTGGTATTGAAGAATACATAGAAACAACTGCCTCACACTAGGTAGAACTACCAAAATTTGGCAATTTCAATGTTTTCAATAAAATTTGAATTTTACATGGTTTAGGCTGACGCATTGTGCAGTACAGCAAAAGCAGTTCCTGGGAATCATAAATAAAATCACTAGTCATATCGTCGATGATACTGCGATACCGCATAACTAACAGTAGCTCGAACCGCATACCAAACACCCATCAGTCGGCAGCACCGAAAATACCATCAAAAACTGCACATGGAGTTTAAGGCAGATCCTATATTGGTAATGTTTACGGGCACAACTGCCCCAGTGAACAATTTCGATAAAAACTATCAAACAATAGTACCTGAAAGCAAGGCGTAGGAGAAAGAGCCTCCTTCCTATACATGCTAAAAGCTACTGGACGGAGCTGGAGCTGGGATTTATGGGACAAGGCCAAAAACTGAGATCTCTATATGTGTAGGTAATATACAAGTCTGCGCAAAAGAGCTAATAAGAAATGAGACTGCAAATCAGTCTATCGCCATCTACTCAGACATCCAGGTAGCTATAAAGGCATTAAGTTCATCCCAAATATCGACTAAACTAGTATGGGGTTGAGAGAACACTTTCAAAGAGCTGGGGAAACCGAAACAAGGTAACACTGCTCTGGGTACCAGCACTTATAGGCCCAGAGCCTTTCTGTGGCATGACTAGAACACGCACTAAACAGTCCATAAGAAACTGGACCAAGAAAAAGTCCCCAAAATGGTAGAGCAGGCAAAATAGTTCATCAAAGAACGAACGCCCGCACCGAAGGACCTACTCGGATTCAATCGGAAGGCCATAAGGGCCAGAGTGGGCAGAAGGGGCCACATGCCGTTTCTGCAGAGAACATGAGGAAACCCCAGTGCATTTCCAGTATCACTGTGAATGCCTGGCATGACTACGGTTTCAGATAGTAGGAACCACAAGTCCAACAGCGGAAAGCTACATGCAAGGCGCTGTGTCAAGTCTATGGAGTCTGATTAAAGGATCAAGGCTGGACAGAGTGCTTTAGAAAGTATATACAAAAAAATCATCAGTCAAATCGCTCCAAGCTACGCAAGGCAAAACAATTCAGTCGGCCAAAACACGTAGCGATAAGAACATGTTCAGTTTGTTCATTCTTATTGATTACTGTCAAATTACGCGGTTCTAGTCACTGTCTGTTACGCGGTATTGCAGAATCACCGACGATACGTCGTGAATCAGCAAAATGGATAAAGCAGTCGGACAATGATGTCGCAAAAAGCTTCATTTTTAGAAGTAGTATGGTACACATTTTGAATAGAACATTTTGCGAACATAAATTGACAAAATTCAAGAGCTTGGACATCAGCCGGGGAAACCCGAAATATCGTATAGTTCGATAGCAGGAATGTTTGTTTCAAGAATGTAATGTGTTAAGAGATACTTGTGACCGTTTTGTAAATTTTGTTACCTTGGAACTATTCAACTTTACCACTAAGCAATTCAAGTTAAAACGTACAACTCTAAACCACCCTAGTGTGAGGTAGCATTCAAGCACATAGTTATCTTTATCGTAATTTCTCTGGGCACATACCAATATAGAGAGCAGCTAAGACATTTAACCGGAATCCTTAATTTTTTTTGTTTTCAGATGAAAATATTATTTAACACCAACTATTTAAATATCATGATTAACACAAATATGGGTATAATGTGAAAAATGCAAGGTTAGTAAAACAATAAGACTGTATATCAGCAAAGTAGTAAATTCTAGGCATATTAACAGATAGCGCTAGTATCTATTTTTCTGTGATTCACCTTCATTGAATGTCATACACATTTAGTGCTATCTGTGTTTCTTATTCTTGAACTCATGTTCGGCAAACCTTGATAAATTATATAATGGTAGATGACGCTTTTCTAAGCCATGAGCCAGGCTAGGCCAATGCCAATATGTAAGGGTTATGCCAATGAACCAGCATGATGTTTTTTTATATGAAATTTACGGTTTTCTTTCTTTTGACTGTTACTTAAAAAGCATTATTTTTATCATTCCTGAGCAGAGGACAAGGTGTGTTCACGTTCGTCCATTGCTGAGTAGAGCCGTTAGATTCGTATTTAATTTGGCAGGTAGAAGGGTCCGACCGAACTTTTGGTTTCGCTTTCGGCTAGTTTCGGTCGAAAATCAGAGTTTCGGTTTCGGCAGAAAAACAACGTTTGTACGTTTTCGAAATTTGATCAGACCAAAGGTCAAATTTGCAAGGGGAAAAATTGTTATTTAGGTAATATTAGATCAGACTGTTCAATTATGATTATTAGATTACGTTCTAATAGCCTGTTGCATCAACATTGAATTTGACTTTTGTAATACTACAGAAATCTTTTATGTAATATAAAATGGAAGATAAGGCTCAATGTCAGGCTGAATATTCAAAACTGTACAAACTAAAGTTCATAGAAAATGCCATAGTCACTAATCTCTTGGAAATAGTTTTTGTTTTTGGTCTTGAATCATTCTTCTAGAAAACCACGATTTATTAGTTTAAGGATATCCAAATCATCGTTTAAAATATCATCATGATCAATAAAATCCATTTTTGAAGACTAAAGATGAATTAGACGATCTTGCAGCCAAAAATTTGATTGCTCAAGTTGAAACTCTAGATTCGGTCGAACACTACTGGGCAGTTTATTTCTACAATGATTGACAGGATATCATTAACTTACCAGGGCTAGGTTGAGCCTGTACGCCAGAAAAGCTGAAGTTTATCTGTCAGGCAACACATTCAGAATATTGAACTTCGGTTGTTCAATCGATCTGATGTATTAGCAAACGGTAAAAGGCGATAAACAAAGAATGCTGAAGGGCGACATTATTTTCAGTCCCATTTCATTAAAATAATTAATTTATTACAGTCTTAAAGTTCCACTTATAGTGTTTCAAATTATACCATTCATTGCCAAGAAAAATTAACAAGCAGATAACTTAGATGCAAATATTAAAAAAGTGAATTAATACCCTCTCTAAATACTTGTCAGTCGTATCAGTCATGCTTCAAACATTTTCCCTGGAATGCATGCATTTTTAATTGTTAAAAAAACGAGCTTCGCTTATATTTTATTGTTTGGACAAAGAGTTTTAAAATACTATTAATGGCAATAAATAGAAGTTGATCCTAGTTTTTTCTGGTTCTCTAAATTATGGAGTATGAAGTATCTTTAAAGATATTTTTTCAATCCTTATCTATTTTCAATATTAGCGACAATGAAACAAATTAGTATGAAGCATGACAGAAACGAAATCTGATTATAAATCTTGAATGATCTATTAACATCTAAACATTTGAATAAAACCATTTTATTCATTCACAAATAACACTGGCGAAAATCTGTCATTTGTGTATTTGCATCCTACATGGTCTGTGTAGGACAGTCATATACTCGATAGCCGCTACCGTTCAAAAATATAAATGGCGCTCCTTTTTTGGTCAGTGGATTAAAACTTGCAAACATCAATATTCTGTTGCCTTTAAAGGAATGATTTGGAAATGTTACAAAAAAGTAAAATGAAGTACAAGCAACTGTCTAATTTGTCACTAAATTCTAGATTTTGAAAATAATCGATTTGTTATCTACGATTGAAAAATACAGTTATATGGTTTTTTAATTGTTATAATTTTCCATTATCTATATTTTCTAAATTTACTATTTTTCCAATTTTCAAAATTATTCAAGTTTGAGGAATGTTAAAAAAAATCATCACAAGCATGAAACAGCGTAAAAGAACGTGAGGGTAATAAAATATATGAAAAATTAAGTACTGCTACTAAATTTATTATAGCAAGTATCGCATTTAGATTTTCGAACAGCACCGATCTTCCACCATCTCAATTGTGTTACTTTTTATTTAACTGCCAAATCTGACAATAAGTAGAATGACAAGCAGCATTAACAATGAGACACTCCCACGTGTGCCCAAAATGAGGTCGCTAGCCGATAGTCGAATCGCAGACATTTTTCCGAATCAACTTTCACCAAATTGGTAATTTCCCTTTCTCTTACAATACACATACCAAATACCTTAAGGCGAACGGTTTCTTGACGGAATGGCATATCGTTTTTGCGCATGTATTTATCTTTAATTTTGATATTGAACCACAATAAAAAAATGCATGCAATGATAAAAATCATATTAATCTTCTACAGTCAAAACTATTTTTGAAAAATATGAAACTAGAAAAGGTAACTGGTGTCTGATTTATAAAAGTACAAGCAGAATCAATGTAGTTTTAAAGTATTAGATTAGAATCGGGTTAAGTTACAATAAATCACAAAATAGGCAGAAAAAAGAGAAACTATACGTAATATGGAAAACTCAATTTGCTAACAATCAGTATTAGACTTAAGGTGCAGAACCAGTTGACTTGCCACTGATGAACTGGATGTCACTAGCATCCATGTGTGAATTTGAGAAACAATGATAAACCAGGCAATAAAGTTATTAGCCTGCTAAAGCCCAGCTAAGTTGAGCAATGTTGATAAAATCATAAAACATAACATATGGTAGAATGTATGGTTATGTCACCAGTGTTGCCGAACCTACCGATTTTTCGCAACTTCAAACAACATAGTACCTTTCATGGATTTTCTGTTATATAGATAAATTTTGTCTATTAGAAATAAAGTCTGTTATTATTATAATTATTAAAAACAGCATAACTTAACTCATGTCATTCCGCCAAGATACATCCCTACCTGCCTCCCACACACCCCAATAAACAACAGTCCGCGTTCGACCTCGGCCGCGGGCCTTCGCTGAACGACTGAGCGCTTACTGCGTTGTCTGCTGCTAATTGGTTGCGACGCGGGCGCCATCCCTCACGATTGGTTGCAGTCATGGCGCCGTCGTGCAGTCGCCGCTTAAGCCGCCGCCATTGCTGTCGGCTCCCGGATAGGTGCCGCCGTGTGGTACAGATGATCCTGAATCAGAGGCGCGTTGGCCCCTTGGCCCACACTCCCCCCTCACACCCACGGCGTCCAGCCCTCGTACAGCAACGCTAGGTTGTCTAGACTGCTCGCCTCTCTTATCACGTATTCCACCTGGAACAAAGATATATACCAAACCATTTATTGACCACATGTTGTGGCCATATCGTAGAATGGACCATTCCATGAAATGTACACTTATCATCAACCAGATCACAAAGTGCGTAGACCAGTTCAATGATAACAAATCGTTTAACGATATGATCAACTTCATGAAATCGATGCATTTTTGCCAAAGTAACGTAAGTGACATTTTTGGTGAAAATCATGTTTTTCCATTAACGTAAGGCTTTTATTGTTGAGAAGGTACTGCCAAAGTGTAGGAAGCCTAGATTTTACTTTAAACCTTTGTTATTGAGTTTTTTTGAAAACGTATGTCCAGAATTTTTTAAATCATAATCGTAAAAGAAACGTAACTTTAACACTATTTCCATCATAGTAATGCAAGCTAACGTTTTTTACCGCCATAATAACGTAAGTCCCAGTCGGTTTTTGCGACTTACGTCAGATTTTCGCAGTCAGTGTTTGGCTTACGACAGTGTTAGGTTCGTGCTACCCTCGACTAATTATTGATATTAGGGAAGTAAATAATAACGACATTTTTTTTATAGTTAGAATTCAAAAATATTACAATCTTAACTAATATTTTTTTTTCTGTCAATATTTTTAATGCCATTAGCAATCAACAAAGAAACGGTTGATTTTTCCAAAAGTTTGAAACAGTACTTTTTTTTCTAAATAAAGTGAGCAATAATAATGAATTATTAAAATTATAAAAAATGCATTGGCGAAAGAATTAGGCTATTTTACTTTTCAACGTATTAAGTAACTACGCCACTTGTTAGATAATTAAGATTTTTTTCTTCTCATAATGGGTACCACCGAAATAAGAGAAACGACAAAGTTTAAAAATTTTCGAAAACATTTTGTCTGAATTAAAAGAAAAAAACTTATTTATTAGCATATTTTCAACACAATGTATCTCGGAAATGAAACATTTCCGGACACATGTTTATCGCAAATTTTTCATCTACATATTTTTTAATGTTCTGGTTGTGGTTGAAGTTTTGAATACTAATTTAGTGAAACCCTGTATAGGGAATTCCCGTGTTATTAAGACTTTATTAAATACAGAAAACTTTTAATGAACTACAAATATAAAAAATGAATACATATTTGCAAGTTATCCTGAAGTATTTCTTTGTTTAAGGTCGAAAGCGGCAAGAAAAGGCAGTTTCTGAACCTGAAAAAATTTATAAACAACTGCTTCCAATATCCGAAATGAAGAAAAGGGATTTGGAAAAACTTTGCAAAAACAATGTCATACTTGCCATGTTTCACGATGAATTCTTTAAATTAAAATGTAAGTCTTCTCTTCCAGATGAGTTAGCAGAAACTGATGCAGATGATGACAATGAAGATGAAAGCTCCAAAACTTAAAAAAATATATATTTTTTACTATTAAGAATTTCATATTTTCTATTTTGTGTTTTTTTTAATAATAAACGCTAGTTTTTAATTCTTTCCAAAATACTTTAAGTGCTACAATTTGCCGCCAAACTGACGTATCTGTGTACTTACGTTACATTTTTGATCAAGATTTCGAGATTTTTGAACCCTTAAAGTAACGTAAGTATTAATTAACCACTAAAACTATAGAAAAACTTCAAAAAACATTTTTCTTAATTAAATATAGACCTCAGAGAAACATCCTGGTAAATTTTGCACAATTTAAAAAAGTTTATCCAGGTTAAATTAAAAACACGTTTTTTCTCCGAAATCGTTTTTGGTGACTTACGTTACTTTGGCAAATACGTATCGAAATGGTCACATTAATTACTCAGAGGCGTTGGCAGCGCTTTGTTTACATTTCAACACGGCAGTCGTTAATAACAAAGTTGTTTTTCGAAGTGAAAATTGTTATAAATCGTTACCACGACAAACATAATATTATAGCTGGCACACGGTTTTGATTTCAAATAAATGAATAATAGTGTAAGTTAGTAGCGAAATTCTAACCTGTGAATCACATTCCGAACTCCTGATGTTTTGGTCGGTACTTGCGTGACCTGCATAGTACTAGAGAACTCTAGTCCACTACACACTATAGTAGCCTTTTAATCTCACTTGCATCCTCATTTGGTAACAAGCCATTAGAATTTTCTCATCGAAAAATAACTTTTTTTTATTAACGAATGCCGTGTTCAATGTAAATATTTTACGATATGATCAAACATGCTTGACCATCTCATGAAGTTTGAAGTCTCATTAGTTAAACGATTTGTTATCATTGATCTGGTCAACACACATGATCTGGCCAATAGATAATAATGCATTTCATGAAATGATCAATTTTACGATATAGCCATGACAAATGCAATGTATATGTGAGGTTTTACAAACTATTTTACAATCTATCCGAGTGGCGTCATAGCATGACAGCACCACAAATAGGACCTCTTACGCTCAAAAAGCGAAGAAACCTATGTCCACTTCTGCTCCAGCAGCCGCCACTGCTACTGGAACTACTGCGCAGAAGCAACACGGCGATGACAGACTGATAGCAATGATGCAAGCCATCATAACCCGCCTGGATGCACTCGAGGCCAAGATGCAAGACAAGCACTAGACCCGAAATGACTACAGGGCAAAACGTAGAATCTCTACGCATTATCTCCTGGAACATCAACGGATTCAGGGCACGGAAACCAGAAATCCAGGAGATACTAGACCAGTACCAACCAGAGGTGATGGCCATCCAAGAAACGAAATTGGATGCTGCCCATAGTCTGACGTTCCCGCGGTACGAGACGTACCGCTACGACAGAAGAGGCAGAGGTGGAGGAGTCGCATTACTCGTCAAACGTACCTTGACGAGTCATGCCCTCGACGATGCCGCAGACATCAATGGGGACGGAATCACGGTCCAGGTCCATCACAACCACCGTCCCTACAGAATCACCTCCTTATATGTGCCACCAGGGGGGGCCCTAGACGAAGATGACATCGCTGACCTCCTGAGAGGCTCAGGAGCACGCATAGTCATCGGAGATCTAAACTGCAAATCTCCGGCATGGAACAACAACGTCGAAGACAGGAATGCAAGGCAGCTCCAAGAACACGTCGATGCCCTGGCGGGGGTCATCGTCGGTCCGGAGCAACCAACCTACATTCCATTCGGCCTCGGGCGACCTGTGGTACTGGACATAGCCATCCTCCGCAACATCAGAGAGGAGTTCGAGATAGAGACCCTGGTGGAAGGATCGTCGGACCACAATCCGATTCTACTAACACTTGGCACAGGGTCTAGAACTCGAGATAGCTTGAGCACCAAACGGACGAACTGGAACCTGTACAAATCCAACGTCCAAAGGAACATCACTCAAATTCCAACCATCCGATCAGCGGAGGAACTGGACAACGCTGGAGCTGGAGAATGCTGTCCTGCGAGCGCACGAGGACAGCACCCGCTCCGAGACTACGGCAGTTCCTAGACACCTAAATGGTCCAGCACCGCACCATATTAGGCACCTGATCAGGGAGAACAGAAGACTCAAGCGAGAACATCTCCAGCTGCTGACAGACTAGTCGAGAGTTGCGCGAAACAGAGCATCGCTAGCTCTGAAGAACGCACTCGCGGAACTCCAAAACAGCAGATGGAATGCAGCCTGTGCAGAACTAGAGACCCAGGATGGTACGGCCTGGACTATGCAGCGAAAATTCCGCCGTCAGCGCACCACGATCCCCACTCTTCACGGCCAACGCGGCTTGGCCTACTCCAGTGAAGAAAAAGCCGAAGCATTCGCCGATTCGCTAGAATCCGAATGCAGACTCAATTACCATGAAGACGAGGACGACAACCACGAGGAGGCCGTGGAAGTCGCAGCCGAAATCATGAGGAGTCGACCACCTGGCCAGGAGACGGATCACCCCTCCAGTCCAGAGGAAATCCGTCTGATCATCCGCAGGTTGAAGGTCAGAAAGGCGCCGGGAAGGGACGGCATCAACAATAGGATGCTGAAGAACCTTCCCACCAAAGACATTGCTGCGCTCACCAACATCGCCAATGCCACTCTAAGACTTAACCACTTCCCGCGGCGGTGGCGGGAAGCCCAGGTTATAATGCTCACCAAGCCAGGCAAGGACCGGAAGTTGCCCCAGAACTACCGGCCCATCAGCCTGGTTTCCTCGATGGGCAAAGTAGCCGAAAAGGCTATCGCCGTTCGATTAGAGAAGCAGGCAGAAGAACTGCAACTTCTCCCTCCAGAGCAATTCGGCTTCAGATCCTCCCACAACACGGAACTCCAAGCGCTACGACTGACGGAAAACATCACCAGCGGCTTCAATCTCCAGGAGGCAACCGGTCTCGTCCTGCTGGACGTGGAACGAGCCTTCGACCGAGTTTGGCACGACAAACTCCTCGCCAAAATGGAAGCCGCCGGAATCGATGCGAACATGTGCCAACTGATCCAGAGCTATCTAACACAAAGATGGTTCACGGTGAAGATTGGTACATGCCATTCAACAAGACGACAGCTGGAAGCAGGCGTGCCCCAGGGGTCAGCCTTAGCCCCCCTGCTCTACAACATCTATACTCACGATGTGCCGAAGACAGCTGACACAATGCTGGCCCTATATGCAGACGACACTGCTATAGCCGCCAAGCATAGACGACCCGAGATCATCCGTAGGAGACTACAAGATGAACTGGACCATATCCAGGACTGGTGCGTGAAATGGAAAATCCGCATCAACGTCCAGAAGATGCAGGCAATCTTCATTCAACGAAGAAGGATTGCAAGACCTCTCGAAGCATCCATCTTCGACGAAGATATCCAGTGGAGCGACAAAGTCAAATATCTGGGGATCGTATTTGACAAGTCCCTCACCTGGAAAGCCCACATAGAAGCTGTCATCGCAAAGACCAGAGCAGCCATGGCTCAACTCTACCCATTACTGGAGACACAGCCGGATGCCGCTAGCGACCAAGCTACGGCTGATCAAGGCCATCGCCAGACCTCAGCTCGCTTACGCCTCCGCGGTCTGGGGGTACGCTGCCCCCAGCTACCGCAAGCGACTTGCTGCTCTAGAGATGAAGCTACTCCGGATCGCCACCAGTGCACCATCCTACGTAAGAAACTCAACCTTGCGTAGAGACCTGCATTGGGACACCATCCACGAGTACATGAGGAAAAAAGCGGAGAAGACCTTCGAGAAAGCTCAGGACCACCCGAACGAGCAGCTACGATTCCTCGTGGACTACGATCCGGACGAGAGGCCTCGCAACCGCAGAACCAGGTACCCCAGACCAAGGTCCCAGTTGGCACCCGCTAACTGGAACCTTGACTAGGAGACTAGGAGAACTCGCGGTTGCTCCCCCCCCACGGCGTGGATGCAGGAGCAGGAACCACCGGGACCAGGACCAACCAGGACCAGGACCCGCCACGACCAGGACCAGGACCAGGAACAACATATTGGTAAGAGGACTTGAAACTCTTGATTTTTCGAAAACAAGAGTTTCAAGAGAAACTAGCAGACCCTCTATAGATGATCGCTTAACGACATCGATAGAATGTGCGAGGTAAAGGGAACCAACCCGGCGTTCCCAGAGACTGAAACACATGAGGAGACGTTGTAGCAGACCGCAGGTCACGCACAACACATGGCCTACCGAGACGCTGATGAGCCGGGCCACGCGGAGGTTAGGGTTTAGTGGGTATTAGGTGATCTCCTCAAGACCCTGGAGTCCCACACACGCCGCAGCTCGGGCTATGGTATGGTGCGTAAATGCATTCCCCCCTCACCAAAAAAAAAATGCCTTGTTTTCATTTAGCGATAACTTGTTGTCTAAAAACCATCTATTGGATTGTTCCAGACTATCTACACCCGTATTTTGTTCAGGTCTAGGCAGCAAGGTGCGAATAGGAAGCAGGATCCATTATCAATACTTGGAGGCAGATCATTGATTATATTAGAAATAACAGTGGGCGAAGTGCTGATCTCTGCGGTACCTCGTTTCAAATATTCAAAAGGTCAGAGGCGGCAGCCTTAGAGCTTACATTCTACTTCCTATTAGACAACAGCGATAACTAGGTATTTCTTATGACATAGTATTCTAGTTTGTTCAATAGTGCGCATGTGATTTTATGCAATCAAATGCTTTCCTCAAGGTACAACACATGGTAGCTATAGTATTAGAGTTATCTTCTATATTATCCAATATTTCCTGTAATGGTGAGTTGCGTTTATTGTGGTTAACTTTTTTCAAAATCCAAATTGTACTACAGATAGGATAGATTTGCCAAGGTAATAAAGATTATGACGGGACAGAGAAATATCTTACCAAACGACGATTTAGATAATATAAGGAACGTTCTAATAAACTCTACACAATATATGCAGAAAATTTGATGAGGTTTAGCATAGTTTAAAAATTACACTTTTTACAGCAGCCGATGATTAAATTCAGTTATCTCCTGAAGAGGTAGCATTTTTGCTGATTGAGATTATTGATGTAATAGTTTTTTGCAAATTTGTACTTTTTTGCAACAGCGTCGTCCTGCATAATAGTGAATCTACGATAGTTTTTTAATCCACCGCGAAGGAGGAAGAGTTGTTCAACCCACTGTATTGCATTCCAATCAATAATATTTAATACCGTTTGAACTCGCCCCAAATGCTCTTATTTTTACCTTATAAAGATCAAATAGAATAATCGTGGTGCATTTCCGGTGATTTTACTGGTAATTGCTCACGTTACTGCAACTCGCATTTCGCTAATATGGACTTTTTATTGCAGGCTCGTAGGATACAATATGACATACACTGAAGGAACAATATGTGACGGGGGTGTTACCTGAATGTCTGGGTTACAACGGTACATGTTCAGTGCTATTTAACCATTTTGCATTTTGAAAGTGGCTTTTAGAACAGTTCGGCAGAAATAAGTATTATAGGAAATTAATTTTGTGTACAGACGAAGCCACATTTACACGAAATGGAGTGCACAATTTCCACAACAATCATGTTTGGGCAGTAGAAAATCAGCATGCTGTAAAAAGAACTCATTTGCATCAAATGTTTGGGCTGGCGTGGTAAATGGCATGCTTATTGGAACCTACTTTTTTTCACCTCGACTGACTGGTGCCATTTGACAGAATATGTGGTTTCTACATGATGGGGCTCCACCATAATTTAGACGAGAAGTTCATGAACATCTAAATGAGTTTTCGAATAGATGGATATGGCGCAATGGACTCATTTCTTGGCCTGCTCGCTCCCCGGATTTAACGCCTTGCGATTTTTTTCTGAGGGGCTATTTGAAAGAGTTGGTGTATCATGATGGAAGAACTTCAACACCGCACTGAAAATGCCTGTGATTTAATTCGTGGACACCAGGATTTTATTTTCGAAGCTTGTAAAGAGTTGTGGATTCGCCGACCAAGATTTTGCGTTAATCGAACAAATGGGGACAATGTTGAACAGTTTTTGTAAAAACAGCATCCATTTAACTTGATAATGTTTTATTTTAAATAATTTTTAATAATGTAAACTAACTCTCTTATTATGCAACTAATATATAGGTGATTTTTGGTATACCATTTTCTTTTGCACAGTTCTAAAAGCTCTAAAATAAATGACTCAACTTTGAAAATACTCTGTATAGCTAGTGCAAGGCAGTGATAGATAGTACGTGTTATGCATTTTACAAATATCACAATCCGACACAAGATATCGCAATCCGGTATAAGAAGTTGCAAAGTGACATTGGTAACAATGTTCTAAAGCTTTCACACACGAGTCAACTGAACTAAGATGGAATGTTTTAATCTAGAGCGCCAGCTTATGTTGGAGTGTTGTCGAAAAGTACAGAAATCTCCGTTCTAATCAGGGAAAAAATGGTTGAAAACTTGAGCTTCTTTTAACGTCACGCCCACTTAAACTATCTAAGAATGCGTTAAGCAGACGAATAAGCTGATCGCCTGACATCTATCGATCCATAACGGTTGGCCATAATTTTTTATTAACGTGCATTTCGTGTGGGAGAACTTTTAAATCCATTTATTGACTAACATCATTGTTAGAGAAAATGAAAACATTGCATAAGTCGTACATGTTTTTTTGTCCTTAGTTTTAACAAGGGTTGCTGAATTGCTATCAATTGTGATCTCCCGGTATAACGTGAACACACACAAAAATGCTCACCTGCTCCTGCACAGTACACTTTCTGCCAGGGTCAGGATCCCTACCCTCCAGCTTCATCTTCACTCTGCGCCAGACGTTGACCGCGTACGCGTTCCTCTGTTGTCCCTTGCCGCCGTTCCCGTTCATGCTGTCCTGCTTCGCCAACGCCAGCTCTTTGTCCTCTAGCTGCTGGAGGGGCGCCCTCTCGGCCATGTCGCGACGCCCTTCGACACTCTCCAGGCGCAACAGGTCGTCGTAGATGTCGCGCGTGTGGGCGCGCACGTACTCCAGGTGCTCGCGAAGGATTTGGACTTCCTCGAAACTCATGTCCTGGTGAAAAAATTAAAATCCGATAATATGTAGCAGCGAGACACGCAATCCCAAACTTAACAATTTGGCAAATGAAAAAATGTGTGCGAAAGAGATTTTTCTGCAGATGAGGTAGAGTTATTGAAAAGTGAAGATAGGCATCGTTCCATCCTGTCACTGAATCTTGTAGTTTTGATAAGCAACCAAGACGCGTTAGTTGCTTATTTAGTTCGTTTGAAAATAATTAGATAGACACCTAAGGTTTTCAGTACAAGTTTGAACTCGCTCAAGTCATTTGGTTGTCCGTAGCGATTTGTTTATGTGGAACAGTTTTTCCTTTTGTGTTCTAAAAATGAGTGACATCAATTTCAAGCAACGGTGTGCTATCAGGTTTTGCTTCAGACTTGGGCACAGTGCAATGGATACTCTTGCTAAACTTCAGCAGCCCAAGTTTTTCGGTGATTAAAGACATTTTTAGAAGGGACAGAGTCGTCTGAAGACGAACCAGAAAGCGCAAGGTCTTCATCTTCAAGGACCGATGAAAATATCGACAGAATGCGGGACCATGTGCGTTCAGATCGTCGGTTAACACTCAGAATGATCGGAGAAGAGTTAAATTTGACTCATATCACCGTTCATCAGATCAAAAACAATTGAGTGTTGCATCACCATAATGCCTGACTTGAGTCCACCTCAAGGGAACACGTAAAAACATCGGACTAATAGCAAAAAAGTTATGGCCGAAACCGAGGCCAAACTGCAGGTTTTCGCACTTGTTGATAATGCGACGATAGATTCTCGCAGATGCTTTAAATTCTTCAAATTCGTACCTCTAAATAAACACAACAAAATTGTAGATTGTAGAGTAGATTGGTCTAGTAGTTTTAGAGTATTGTCTATTCCAAAACACCTGTTTTCCGGCCATCACTACTAATTTATTGAGCAGGGTTAGTTCAAACGGCATTTTATAGCAAAATACACTAGTTTACCTTGCCGATATGAATCGCAAGCCATTCCGGAAGATAAATGTTATTTTTATGCAAAAAGGATGGGTTACACTTTTTCTCCTATACAAATTCGAACATTTCTTATTTGTGAGTAATTCGCAACAAAAGATGATAGACACAGCCGCTTTGTTTTAAAATATGTATAGTAACGCATATTTTTCGAATATCGTAGCGCACTTGTTCAATTACTCACAAATACGAAATGTTTAAAAATAACATTTACATTTCGAAATGGTCTGTGATTCATATCGGCAAGGTAAACGCGTGTATTTTGCTATTAAATGCTCTTTGAACGAACCCTGCATATTGCTCAATAAACTAGTAGTGATGGCAGAAAAAAAGGTGTTTTGGGATAAACAATTAGGAATTCTCAAGAAACTACTTGACCAGTATACTCCAATTTTATTTATTAAGTATGTATCGAAGAAAGAGACTAAACCAAAACAGTGATCATCGCGCGATTATTGCGTGATAAGTAAACTGATATATTTCAAGAGAGGGGGAGCATAACTGTTATTGGGCAGAATAGGTCGAGCCCTTACACAAAACTAATGACAAACCAGAGGGTGGAGTGGGAGACGATACGACCGTGCATGCCGACTGTCCCGGTGGCTGGCCGTACAGTACAGAGTTGGCATCAGATTTATACTGGTATTACTGTGTGCTTATTAGATTTGTCAGTTTAATTTCATAGAACTCAAAATGTCTGATACGGATACAGCTGATGAAGTTGTTGATATAAGCTGCACATCGCCTAAAAAAGAGCTAAAAGGCTTCATTTTAGCGTTATCGAAAAACAAATAATTATCAACATTTATAAATACGAAATGTGAGGAAGGAGTGACTCAAGTGTTCAGGACATTGTTTGCAAAGCTGACACCTACATATTTTTCAATACTTGTAAGATGAGGAATTTCAACTAAAATTATATTTTATTTTTGTTTTTGTACATGCTTAAACTATATCGAGATAAGAAATCAAGCAATCATTTTGTTGGTTTTTAATGCTTTCAATAGAAGCGTTTTTAAAGTGTCCAAAATGAACTATTTTTAGTAAAATGTAAGCGATGGATAATTGCCATGCCGATGCATTATGGGCATTTGAATCCAAAGAAACGGGAAACTACCATGAAGAAATGGATGGAGCCTCGCTTGAAAATTGGTTCTCAAATACTCTACCGAAGCTTGAAGATAATTAGGTTATAGTATTAGATAATGCTTCATTCCACACGAGAAAATTATAGAAAATTCCAACAACGTCAATAAAAAAATCAGAAATTCAAGGATGGGTTAAAAATAAAAATATTGATTATGATGATACTACGGTGAAGGCAGAATTGTTACAAATTGTCACGACGCATAAAAATAAATATAACATGAACATAATTGATGAAATGGCCAAAAAACAAAATAAACCTGTTTTACGACTGCCTCCTTACCATTGTGAGCTCAATCCAATTGAGCTCATTTGGGCAGACATAAAAAAATATGTTGCAGCAGAAAATAAATGGTTTAAATTTTCTGACATTAAAAATATTTAACATGATGCTATACAAAGAATAACACCGAATAAGTGGGAAAATGTATCAGCATGTAAAAGAAAAAGTTGAACCTAAAATGTGGGAATTAGACGGTATCATTGATACTCACGTTGCCCCTCCAATCATAAATCTTGATGACAGTGGGAGTTCCACGGCCTCAGATCTACAAGTAGAATGATTTTCATTTTCAAATATATGCATTTCCGGTTTTAGAGGTTAAATGTCTGTGCAATTAATTTTTGTATAATATTTAATATATATTATTATGTATTCAAATCCTTTTTCTTTTTTTAGTCTAATATTAAAATTAACTGTTTGCACACTGACGTCCGTGTTCAGGCGGTGGTTAGGTATACTTGTATGCATATGCAATTATCGTTTTAATCTGTGATAACATTTTTTAAAAGCCTGCTTTATAAATGCGCCTTACGACACATTTCGAGTATAATTTCTTGATACAATACTTCTACTAAAAACAACAATAGACAGTTGTTTTCTTTTTGGTCATGACAGTTAAATTAAAAAAAATACATTAATTCCAAGCTTTACGTTTGGACCCTATACATGCCTGCAATAATTTTGCATACTTTTTGATCGTGTCATAGAACCACAAATCATTTATTCTCAGTACAGCCCGGTAACGTGCTCGGCGTTCTGGAGCGCGATCACTTGGGGTATACGTAAATATGTTTAGGTTTGGTCTCTTTCTTCGATGGATACATAATAGAAGTATCCTACGGATTTTAAGAATTTCAAATAGTTGCGTGAAATTATCGTCGCATTACCAACAAATGCGAACACCTGCATTTTGCATCGTTTTTCGGACAATATTTTTGCTATTAGTCGGATCTTTTTACGTGTGGTCTCATTTTGTAGGTTTCATAAATCTTATAAACAGATAGTCTTTATTGTCTTTTTTTGGTCATAACTAGCTATGACATAAGACTTGTCAACATTACATATACAATACATAAGTATGCGATATGCAAAAAAGAACAGGTAGTTAATTAAAACAGTAATTGAGATAATAAATAATAAACAAATAAATAAATAAAATAGGAGTCAGTACAAACACAAACAAATTCTTAATGACATCTAACGAACATGAAAAAAAAATCAATTTGAAATAAATAAAAACAATTGAGCACTTAAAATGTCTAGAAGAGGAGCAATAAATAGACTGTTTCTTTTCCGTTAAGCTTAATAAATAAATAAAAAGAATAAATAAATAAAATTAAGCAGTTAGGTATTCGCCGACGGTGTAGTAACACTTTTCTTTCTTCTTATATGAAAAGTTTTTTCGTTCCTCTCATTACTTTCAACAGAATCTCAAAAACACGTTTTCTCGTTCTTTGTTGTCAAATACAAAGTTTTCCCATAAAAATTGGTGTACCCATTTTATGCGTCCATGTTTTAAATACCACCTTGGACACCTTCCACCAATAAACACCAGACTTTACAATTATTTCGGAGAAATCTGCTAATATGATTAGACTATGAGGATAAACTTGATTATCATTGAACAACAGATGTAAAATATTTCAGTCATAAAATTGCAATTTTGTCTAGATAGAGAACATCTACTGTACTCACCTTCTTGAAAATAGCTATCGCATCAACAAAATGATCCGTGTATAACTTGTACTGATGCACGTAATAAAGAGCGGCAGCACTGTATTCTTCTACTTTGGTTATTGTCTTCAACAATCCTTTCACGTCGGACATCAGTTTACAGTGTACATTGTACAAACTCTTTAGGTTATCTGTCAGAGACATCAGCTCATCGATCTTGATGAAGATACGCTCCTTCTTCATCTGAAAAATAGGATCTTGATCAAAGGAAAGCAAATTATATTATTATACCAGTATTATAGTCAAAGTCTCCAGGTTAGTTAAATTTCAGGTGTCAGAATTGAAGAACGGTAGCGACTATATTTAAAAAGAAATATTCAAAGGCACTAGACTGCAATGGCTTATTGTGGTTTGTCTAAAAATGGCAGTGAAACCAAGTTTCTACTGACTGCAAATGGAACCGCAAATGTAGATGGAAAGCATACAGAAAAATGGGTATAAATGACATGGCCTATTTTCATTAAAATACTGATTTAGTGATCTACAAATGTAGGATTCATCTGATATCCCATTTAAGTAAATTTGCTTAGTTTGAGTTTCTCACCCCTACGTTCACCTCCCATAGCTTTCAAAAAGTCGTAACGGTATCGATTCTCTAATGTGCGTGCCAGGACATTCAGGTAACGCAGAAAAGGAAAGGGCGGATGAGGTAGCAAGCAAAGGATCATCCACACCCTATACAGGCCCAGAACCTGCCCTGGAGGTGCCAAACAGCACAATAAGGAACTATGTCAAAGAATGGATGAGAAACCAGCACAAGGAACATTAGCTCTTAGTGACTGGTTGCAGGAATGGGAAGGAATTCATCTCGGGACAATGTCCAAATAAGACTGGGGAACTGCTCTCAATGAGTAGAAACCAACTCCTTGCAGTTACAGGACTTCTAACAGGACACAGTGGCCTGAAAGAACACTTGATCCATAAAGGGCTGTACGATGGAGACCTTAGCTGCGGACAATAAATAATAAATATAAATAAATAAATAGCGTTTATTTCCCTACAGTTAAGGAAACCATGTACAGGACAATCCTAAGATTCAAAATAACAAGAACAGAAAACATCTAAAGAAAAAACAAATAAGAAAAAGAAGCAAAAAAAACATATTTCACTCAGGTGAGTAACATATCATAAATTATCCAAGCAATTTCTAGCTACTCCCAGAATGATGTTCAAACTGTCAGCATGTATATCACAATAATTTGATATTGGATTGAAAGTTTCACACATCACATATATGGGTGCCTTCAAAAACAAATTTGTGCGAGCCCTGTCGCAATAAAATGTGTTAGCTGTACGAGTTTGAATAGATGGAACATTAAAGTTTATTTGAGCCACAATCTCATTAGCATCAATTTGATTGTGCAGTAGTTTATGCAAGAACATAATTGATGCACACTGCCTTCTCAGTTCTAAAGACTGTACTTGAAACCTAGACAGTAACAAACTTTCAGATATACCACGTTCAGGATATATACCGTCAACTTTGAAAGATAAAAATTTTATAAACTTCGTCTGAACATGCTCAAGAGAATCAATGTAGCAGTTGCAAATTAACGATGCATATTCCAATTTCGATCTAATATATGCAGAATACAAAAGCAACAGTGACTCTGGGCAGCTAAACCTTCTACAGTTTCTCACAATAAAACCGTACCCCCGCGAAGCTTCACTCACCTTTTGAGCTATGTGGAGTGAAAAATTAAGTTTATGGTCAAAAACTACACCCAAATCCTTAACTGAGTCATAACGATTTATGTAAGCATCCCCAATTTTATAATCAAATTTACAAGCAGAAGTTTTCCTGGAAAAGCTGACTACACTACACTTAGAGGCATTAAGAAATAAATTATTCTCGTCACACCCAGCCACTAGAGAATCAATATCACGCTGAAGTTAAATACAATCAGTCTCAGCCTCAATAATCCTGAATTAGTGCTAAAGCTGATGAATGGAATCCATAATAAAGTTTATTCAAAAGTATGCCATGGTCCACCCTATCAAACGCTTTAGCAAAATCACGTTCAATAGCGAACTGAGTGAAGATTGTTAAATTAGTTACTGTTGATCTCTTAGTAAGAAAACATGCTGAAAAGGGGACAGAGATCTATGAACTGCGGAGTAAATTCAATTATGCAATATTATTTCCAGCAATTTGGAGAAATTCGACAATATTGCCACCGACCAGTATTATCCCCTGATTTGAAAATAGGTGTCACTCTAGAAAGTTTCCAGATATCAGGGTATGTGTTGGTTTCTATAGTCAGATTGTATATTTTTAATAACGGCTTAACAAAGACATGAATACAATCTTTGACTATGAACGAGGGGGTGTTGTCTGGGCCGGCCGTTACTCTATTCTTGAGTTTTTTAGATGCAGCAATAATCTCATTTTCATGAATGTTATTAAAAAATATGTTAACCTGACTAGTAGGATTCATGCCTTCAATATAATCATTACGAGTAGATGGATCAACAAAAACACTATTAAAAAAATCTGCAAATTCATTGACAGCACAGTAAGGATCGTTCAGTGAGATGTCATTCAACTTCATTTTACCAGGAATCCTAGTAGTTCGATTTTTTGTATGCAAGAAGCTCCAAAAATGTTTAGGATCTTGAGAGATAGAGATTCAACATTACGTGTATAATTTTTATAGGTCACAGATATTTGACGCTTTACCTCAGATCTAAGACGTTTGTACTGTTCATGTAGATGGTTATTGTGAATCTTTTTGTACTTCTTGTATAACTTTGCTTTATGCTTGACTTTCCTAATAAGTTCGCTGGTGTACCACGAAGGGTACTTATGACTCAAAGATGTATATTTGGGTACGTAAATATCAAAGATAGTGTATAAAAATTTATAAACAGACAGACAGACAATGTGGAAAAGGCACAGAATCCGCCCTCGAGACGCTGGATCACATGATACATCAACTCTTTGGGAAACCAAAACTAGAACCGAGGGAGTTTAGAACAGTACCGACAGGGAGACTGTACCAACTGGTACAGAACACTAGAGTGCTGGATTGGGAACTGTAAATTCGAGGATCAAGGCACAATAAGCCCTAGAGGAGCAGTGCCATCGGGATTTTGGTCCGACGGCTCCCGGAAAGGATAAAAAAGGGTATCGATTGATCAACGCACCAGATTGGTTTAAGATCAGCATTAGTACATAGCATCGCTGGAGCTGGTTGATTCAATAATCAGTTACCAGTAGGTAGCTTGTGTGTTGATATTACGGGGTTGGCAAAAAGAGTCATAGGTGGGCTAGTTGTCAGGCTTCGCTTCCCCATCACTATTACTATAACATCGACTGACCAAAACATCGAAAAATTGACTGATATGCGGAGTCTTAAAAAATGAAAAAATCGTGTATTTTGGAAGGAAAAAATAAAAACGCCGAGATCGGGGGAGGCGATATGCTATTTCCCTTGATACACCACATGCCGATTATAACTCCCCAAAAGATGAACCGATTTCCAACATAACTAAGAGCCATTTCGATAGGTAAGACTTTCTATTAAAAAACCTCAACATACATACATACACATAGATATCTTAAAATTAAAAAAAAACCTCCTTTTTGCGCCGGCAGTTAAGCCCAAATTCACATCTGTGATTTCATTTGAGGGTAAAAGTAGAACATGGAGATTTTATTTCTTGTACGGATGTGTGCGGCCGCTCCCTGCCTCCGAATGTTTACTTGCGCGGTTTGACGTTTTCCTTTCGATTTTGGAAATATAAGTTGATCATGCATTTTCCTATTAATTCTTTTTCAAAATTCAATTTGATGGCTTCTACACAGATTTTGGTTAAAATTTTACAAATTAATACTATGGAAATTACATTAGTTTATAATTATTCAATTTTAGTGATCTTATTGACCAATATTTTATTCTGTGACCTGTGTTTTTTTTAATGAATGGACTACACGTCGTAAGTAGTTTTTTTCATTAATCGCTTTAATTGATATTCAATATTCTTTGTAGTATGTCCTGATGAAAATAAATATTATATTTTCGAAAGCTTAACTTAAACAAAGAATCACGTTATTTCTGGCTTGACTTCGTTTTGCGTTTGACTGCTTCCCGAGAATTTGTACTTTGTATTGTAACGGTTTCACCGTCCGATCGTACTTATTAAATCACTTCTCGATTATCATTTCATTAATCCCATCTCTAGCTTTTTTACTTGGAAAAATTTCCGCTTGGAGCGCGCTTGATGCGGAGTTCCTGATCTGCGGTCTTCCTCGCGCTTCCTTTTTCACTTGAGCCGCCGATCTAGCAAGAGCTAAGAATTTTGTTCTCTATAGCATGAGGTCATATAGCACCATGTGCTAGCGGTTTGTAGAATGTGTGTCCGAATAGGACAAAATGGTGAGTTTTATAATACTATACAGTTTTATTGCTGGATCTGCCTGTAGTTTATAGATAATCGATATGTAAGTGGTTTATTTCTTGTACGATTCTAAAATACCATCGAACGTCATTTTCGACTACTTCGATCATTCGCCATAACTTTAATCAAATCGAGGTAGAAATCGATCCACATCGATTTTACCTCTGTGTGCGTATATATATTCATAGTTCAGTGAAATTATGAGTACGTTGATTATGAATATTCGATATTTGTGTTTTTATATCAGAAGCATGTGGAGAAATTTTTGATGACCACCATCTTGTTTTACGCTTTTTTTGCTATTTCATGATTTTATTTTATGAAAGGCATTTCCAATTTTCGGTTTGATTTTATCAAACTATGTGATGTAATTCTAACCTAGAAAATCGTTGGTTCTCTTTTGAGGCAGACTGAGATTGGAAATGCCTTGGCCATTGGGGCACGTTGCTAATGCACACGGTTCTTTTTCAGATTGGGGCCACCCCCTTTCCCTTTCCCTTTGCCTTTGTCTTTGACTTTGCTTTTGCCTTTGACTTTGACTTTGCATTGCTTGGCCTATCACTTCACCCATGCATGTGCCTTGGCAGCGCCATCACCTTTAAGTTCAACTTCGCCTACATCTAGTTTTGAAGCCACTAAATGTGAGGTTACCCCTCATAACTGGGACCTCCACTTCAAGCACCTGGCCATCTTCGCTTCACATATTTTTGAGTGGTTTTGAACTTTGACAGTATTTTGTAGTCTGGATAGTTACATAGATTCGTTGCGATGTATGCCTTTGAGGGTCTTGTACAGTTTCTTAAATTGAAAGTGTTTTCTTCATATGCATTTTATTTTCTTCTTGAGACTTGTCATATATGCTTTCCGCCTAGTTACTAATCTGTGCGTATTGATAAACTCTTAAAACCTCTGGCGTATAAGTAAAACTCACTTTTGATATAGTAATTTATGTCTCAGTTCAATTCAATCAGTTCAATTTGATTTGAAGTAATTGTCAATTCCTTCTTGAGATTTTTCATATATGCTTTCAGCCTTTGTGCACATTTGTGCGTATTGCTAAGTCTTGAGCTTGGTTGCGACATTGATTTCATGTTTCGCTATAGATTTTGAAATATCTGGTGATTTTGCTTTTGCATTATTGCATTTGTTTTGATAGTCTGCTCTCATAGTTTTTTTTCCGACTTCTTATTTATTTCAATTTCTGTCTTGATTTGAAGTAATCGCCAATTCTTATAGATTCAGTATAGTAATTCTCTTTTTATACTTTACACTGGTAAATTATTATAGTTTTTCTAATCTTGTAATATTTCATATTTGAACTTAACTTTCATTTTACAACGATATGGTTATTCTCAGTGTAGACTTTGAAGTGCGCTGATGATATCAGTGATCTACATGAGAATATTTCATAGACTATAGACATTCTTGTCTAGGGCTTTGGAGTGCACCTATGGTGACCCTAGAAACTTGTCTTTCTCTCATATTTTTGCTTTAAATCAAAATTCGAATTCTTACCTATCATATTTATTTCTATTTCTTGTTCACTAGATTGTTTTTTTTTATAACTCCAATTTTGCACCTACATATATCGTAGACTTTTGCATGCAATTTTTGCTTGCGGCATTACTCTCATGTATCATGATTTATTAAAATATCTTGTGATTATCGTTTCGCTATTTTGCATTTTACATATGCTCACTTCGTTTCTCAATTATTACTCATGAAACTTTTAATATTTTGCTTACTTTTGTATTTTTTGAGAATTCTTTATGAAATCATGGTCATATAGCTTTGATATTTCCTTTCACTTTGTGATTTTAATACTAGTAAATTTACAGTTGCACTTGTGTTGCACTTAGTTTTTTTTGGAAATTTATTTTGCTCTTTTCTATATTGAACTTCAGAATTTTTTTTTTTTTGGTCTTATGTTGTCACATGACCCGAAAATTTTGATTGAACTTACTCTTGAATTTTAGTTCAATGATTGAACTTAAGCTATATTTTGACTTTGAAAATCTTACTTCAATATTTCATGAATGTCTCTTATATACTTTAATTCTCTGAAAACATTTTGACTTATTTTGTAGTCTTACAGACTGCTGGCGCCCGACAATTTTTTTGTGGAATTAGAACTGCACTTAGTTAACATCTTTTTTGATTAAAATACCTTCGTGATCAAGTTTTCATTGGTTTAGTACTTGTAAATTGTTTTGTTATATGACTTGAATTCCTAATGCAATTTGTTAATTTCTTTTGATTTTCATATTTTGAAAATAGTAATGCACTGTTTTTTTATAATGGATATTGGTTTAAAATATCACTGTAGGTCATATTCTTTTTGGGTTTGGAGTATTGCGAGATAATCTGGCAATTGTTTTGAGAAAGATTATTATTATTTTTTTAGTACCTCTTATGGTTTAGGTACTTACTTAGTTTTGAAGTTTTTAGTAGTCAGTCGTGCATTTTGGATGCTATTGTGATTCCTTACTTCGTGCTTGGACTACTGCTGAAGCTTTTGGTTTATTATTTTTCTCGTCCTAGGTATGACGATGTTTTATGTTTTGGGTTGTTCATCATATGATGATAGTTTTTTTTAAGTGCAACTTCACTGTACTTTTCAGCGAGTTGGTGCTATAACCATCCCTCTTGTTTGGTAGACTTGAGGCTATCCCTTTTTCTTCCAATTCTCTTCTAACATTTTTGTTTCTACCTTACTTTTGCTACTTGTTATCTGGTCGAATGGTTGTACATTTGTCCTTCCGTGATAACTTTCAATTTCCTTGTCAAATAAAAAAACATTCTTGAATGCTTCTTCGAATTTTTTTCTGGTTAAGTAGGGGCGAGTGTAACGGTTTCACCGTCCGATGGTATTTACTAAATCACTTCTCGATTATCATTTCATTAATCCCATCTCTAGCTTTTTTACTTGGAAAAATTTCCGCTTGGAGCGCGCTTGATGCGGAGATCCTGATCTGCGATCTTCCTCGCGCTTCCTTTTTCACTTGAGCCGCCGATCTAGCAAGAGCTGAGAATTTTGTTCTCTGTAGCATGAGGTCATATAGCACCATGTGCTAGCGGTTTGTAGAATGTGTGTCCGAATAGGACAAAATGGTGAGTTTTATAATACTATAAAGTTTTATTGCTGGATCTGCCTGTAGTTTATAGATAATCGATATGTAAGTGGTTTATTTCTTGTACGATTCTAAAATATCCATCGAACGTCATTTTCGACTACTTCGATCATTCGCCATAACTTTAGTCAAATCGAGGTAGAAATCGATCCACATCGATTTTACCTCTGTGTGCATATATGTATTCATAGTTCAGTGAAATTATGAGTACGTTGATTATGAATATTCGATATTTGTGTTTTTATATCAGAAGCATGTGGAGAAATTTTTGATGACCACCATCTTGTTTTACGCTTTTTTTGCTATTTCATGATTTTATTTTATGAAAGGCATTTCCAATTTTCGGTTTGATTTTATCAAACTATGTGATGTAATTCTAACCTAGAAAATCGTTGGTTCTCTTTTGAGGCAGACTGAGATTGGAAATGCCTTGGCCATTGGGGCATGTTGCTAATGCACACGGTTCTTTTTCAGATTGGGGCCACCCCCTTTCCCTTTCCCTTTGCCTTTGTGTTTGACTTTGCTTTTGCCTTTGTCTTTGACTTTGCATTGCTTGGCCTATTACTTCACCCATGCATAAGCCTTGGCAGCGCTATCACCTTTAAGTTCAACTTCGCCTACATCTAGTTTTGAAGCCACTAAATGTGAGGTCACCCCTCATAACTGGGACCTCCACTTCAAGCACCTGGCCATCCTCGCTTCAGTCCAGTCAAAATGGACCAACTTAGCAAAAGATAAGTGTATAGCTTTATAGCAGCGCCAAAGATTTAAAACTTATTTTGTCCTTTAAAATTTCAATTTCAAATGTAATGAAAATGCTTTTTTGTTAAATAAAATCTGTTAAATTTTTGTGTTCTGTTTGTTCTTCTATCCTCTAGCCATGCCATGGTCGACACACAGCTACACGCCTGTAGATGTCTTCATGCCAGCGACTGAGCTACCGGAAGCTAATGGTAACCCCCTTTCTGTGATTGTGCAGAAAAGTTGGAATCTTCATTGCATTCCATCTTTTCTGGACTTTTTGCGGAAAGGAAGCGTTACAGTATCTTAGCTAGTTACCCAAGACTACGCTACTGTTCCGAAGTGTGAGAATGTACATACCTTAAGTTCATTCTGAGAAATGGAAATATTATCCGTGATTGTCTCCGAGATCTTCTGCAGCCACTTCATATCATTGGCCAACTCCGGCGTCAGCGCGTTCAAAATATGCTCCTCAGCTGGCAGCAAATTCTCTGTTTTCGTGTCCATATACTGACAGGCCAACCTCCACTTCTCGAAGCACGCGAGGAACCGTTTATCGTACTCCTTGGTCACGTCCAAGGTGGAAGATCTTAGCAGCTCGTGGTGCAGTATGGTGGCGTAGCTACTAAGAATGTTGTTAGCTATCTTCTGTTCGGAAGCTAGTTGCGAGTTGCGGGCCTGTACGGCAGCTTCGAATGCAGCCGAGATCTCGCCGACGTTCGGGTTCGCGCCTTTCGCCCAGTTGAGCCGTTGGTATGCTTTTTCGATCAGGGATTGTTGTTTGGTCAATGCTTCTATCAGTTGTCTGTAACAAGATTATTATGTAGCTTCTTTTACGTTTGCTCACTAGGATCGTTGTGAACGTCCATCTATGGAGGAATCACTTAACTAAACAAAACGCATTATTGGTTGCATGTGTTTTATAAGGCCGAGTGGTCCTCGCCTGTAGTTTTTATCTCTGAAAAGAAAGTTGGTTGAATAGCAAGATCGCATCTGGATGTTATGTGTATGGGTTGACAGGTGTATAAAATCAGTGATATTTGCTGTGTGAGATAATCATTACTGAATATGCTGCCAATGAAGTATATCTATTGGCTGTGCCTGACGGGTTATTTTTATGTTGTGCTTTCTGAAGAGAGGTTATGTAGCAAAGTTATAAATTACGAAAAACTGAGGAGAATTACGATAAATTCTCACCGCGTCCGCGTTGTGTGTAATTGCTGGTAGCATGTATATAGCTATTTCTTATCTCTCTCATTTTTGATATTCAGCAAATTTGTATAGGTAATTTCCAGAATGGATAAGAAAAAGTGGCTGCGCAACTAATTTCTAGCTTTGAATCTCAATTAAGTGTATTTGAGACAAGAACTCAATGTAATTATCATCAACACATACCACTTACAGCTTAGACCTCCAGTAATGCCATCTCAGAAGCAGATTTTACATCACATCAGAACCAAAGATTGATAACAAGCCTCATGACGTTTAGGCAACACCTACAACTAAGTGCTAAGCTAACATCTTCTAGAAAAACCTACATAATGTCAAAAAAAAACAGCATAATGTCAAAAATACTCTCAAAATGCAGGTACTTTCAAAAAAAAAACGATTTCTCCCAAATTAGTTCTAATTTTTTCCTGACTTTATTTATAGTGGGATTTCAGAATAAATTGCACATTGCTACTTTTCTCCTCTACAAAATAACAATCAAAATTTCAATAAGACGTTTCATCTCTTGTCATCCAGCTTCAACTTTATTTTTTCTTATAGGAAACTTTATTTTTTCTTATAGGATTTTTGCACAGTTCAATAGAGTTTTTAATTCTGATTTCAAAAATCTATAATATGTCATACGTTGACAGTGCAAAACCTTAGTTATTTAAAAAAGAACAGAATTTCCTAGGTAGGCCTTGAAATTATTAGATTTCATTTGTTTCGTATACCAGATTTATAGCAAAATCACGATAAATTGAGCTCTGAATAATGCACACAGAAGAATCAGGCGTTGCCTACAAAATAACGATAATAATCATAAATAAGCAGGCATAAATCATGGCGGATATTCACAATGTTGTCTGTTCAGCGCTGTTTATTCTGATTAGATTGCATTAAACCTAGTATACGAAACAAATGATTATCTGATAATTTCAAGGCTTACCTTAGGAATATATATTTTTAAATAGATTGACAAGGAACGAAACATCATATTGAAATTCTAACTATGCCATTTTGTAGAGGAGAGAAGTGGCGATGTTAATGTGCAATTTATTTTGAAATCCTACTACGAATAAAGTCAGGTAAAAACAAAACGTTGTTGGGAAAATTCGGTGTTTCAGTCTTTCTTCGGAAGTACTTTGAATTTCTAAACTTTCTAAGCGGCAGTTTTTGCTAATTACCTAAATACGCAACTTTGCCCCATTTAAGCGACTCCATATCTCTTACCGTTACCGAGATCCCAATAGTGAGGGTCAAATTTCAAACATCCGGTCTAGCAAAGTTCATCCAGTTCCGTTCAACCATTTTGGCGTGATCAAGTAACAAACATCCACACTCCCTCATTTATAATATAAGTAGGGATAGTATGGATTCGGACAGACAACACATTTTGCTGGGGTAATGACAAATGAAAAAATAATAGCATATCAAAGGAATATACTATTTCATAGAAAGTATCAACAATAAACATTAATCGTCTTAAGAGGATTATACCAAAATTGAAGTCAAATCAAAATAAGAGTGAGATTTTGTCTAAAAGGGTAGTTAATGGTTGTTTGGATATTATTGGAGCAATATTAATCCTGATAAATTACTGTTTAAAATATGACGAATTTCCAACAAAAGTGTTGTACCATAACTCATGTTTCGAATGTTAAGAATTCTAAGCTGTCCAGCAATATGTAGGCAAAAAATGGTCTGTCAGATATTGAAAAAGTATTTAAAGAAACTATGAATCATCGAATTCATCGAAGGAAATAGAATTTTAACCAAATTTCAAGCTGGAGTCAGGAAGAACACTCAAGGGAAACAGCAGTACAAATGGTACACTGTCAGTGTTTTTTGGACTTTCAAAGGACGTTCGAAACTATTTACAGGGATAAATTACTTACAAAATTGGATCACTATGGGTTTAAAGGATCTGTATTCAAAATTGACACAAGAAAAAACAAAAATTGGATATTCTGAAGCTCAAAAAATATTTCAGTTAGTGTATTACACGGTAGGAGACTAGGTCTACTACTATTTATTTTATACATTAATGACATTTGTGATATTTTGGATTATCGTAAAATTCCAATATTTGCAGATAAAACAGACACCGCTTTAAAATTGCTAAACTCTGGCATAAAGTGGTTAAATGTAAATAAGCTAAAATAGCATGCTTCTAAAATAAAATGTATGCTAATAAGGAAATACATGAATGAAAATAATATCACAGTTAATAGTGAAATAATTGAAAATGTTGAATCATTTAAATATTTGGGTATATACGAGGTTTGTCCGGCAAATACGTATAAAAAATTCGTGGCGTCGTGTCAAGGCATTGTGGATGGGTGGCCTGTGGTTCCCTCTCTCTGTGGACTCCTCTCTATGCAATCCTCTCTATGCTCAGTTCGAGCCAAGCGCTCTGCGAGTAAGTTGGAGTTAGTTTTGCTTGTTGAAAGCAACCCTTTTTTTACCTGCTGTCGGCATGGAACTCTCTCTGATCGAGGAACAGCGCATCAACATCAAGTTTATTGCAAAAAAAAATGTTTGAGTGTTTGGAACAAGTGTACGGACACAATTCTCCGTCAACAAGTGGTTGGAGGTTGGTTTCGGGAAGGCAGAGATGATGTGAAAGATGACCAAGCTCAAGACGCCCCTTCACATCGAGCTCTGAGGGAAATGTTGAGCGAATTCTGGGCTAAGGAACTGTCAATCCCCAAAACAATTGTTCACGAAATTCTGACAGAAAAACTTGAAATGAAAAAATTGTGCGCGAAAATCGTTCCGAAGCTCTTGACTCCAGAACAGAAAGCAAGGAGGGTTGCTTGCTGTGAGGATTGGTTTTAAGCAGAGGAAAATATAGATATTCGTTTATAAAATTGCAATTAGTAAGACTAGCAAATCAATATTTCAGAAAGGATTACTTGAATTTATTAAACTAAATAAATGATATCAAGTCTATTAGTAATTTAAATATGTTCAAATTTTGTTTTTCTATACAATGTGTTTGGTCACGACATACCGATATTTAAGAGGGGTATTTTTCAGCTATTTTTATCGACAAATCCACCTCCTACAATGTCCTACCTCAACCCCCTTGAAATGGCAGCCATTTTTCTTTTTACGTTACGATTACGGCAAAATTGTAATAACTGAGTACGTAGTTGTCACAGAATGTAGAATGATACATTTGGTGTCATTTGAACGATGACATGTCCTAGCAATTATTAAAAAACTTGTTTTGATACTAACCGTCAAACATACTTAAAAATAGACAAAAACAGAAAAAAATATGGAAGAAAATTGATTATTTGGTGCATTTCCGCACACCATTCAAAAACTAGTCAGAGAAGTTGTATTTTTTTTGTGCTAATTCTACAGCTTTTTGTTATCCTAAGTATTTTACGATAAGCAATAGATGCTATCTAATATCGGTCAAAATGGGTGTAAATACATACATAAAAATGACAAATCAATGTTTCTTATAGAGAGTTTGGACATGTTTAATGTTACAGAAGCTGTTCAAAATGTCCTCCATTATTGGTTATGCACATTGTCGTTCTTAAAACAATTTGACGTGTTGAGCGGCAGACCATATCCGTGTCAGCCCTAATTTCGTTGGCAGCGGTATCGATCCATTTCAAGGGGGTGAGGTATGACATTGTAGGTTGTCGGTTATTCGATAAAAATAGTTGAAAAATATCCCCCTCAAATATCGTGACCAAACATGTTGTATATGTGAAGTTATGTTGTAGTTTTTTAAACGAATGTAATAGTAATCATCCGTGGAATCGTGGTGTAGGGAAGTCGATCTTTCTGTTAATGCTGAAAAAACCGAGCTGATCCTATTCACTAGGAGAAGAAGGCTTGACGGGCTGGTCATGCCGACCTTCTCTGGGACTAGATTAGTTTTGTCCCAGTCAGTGAAATATCTGGGAATTATCCTGGATTGCAAACTGAACTGGAGAGAGCATGTGGAATACAAGGTTAGCAAGGCTCGCAATTCGATGTGGGCTTGTAGACGTGTTGTCGGGTAAGGTGGGGGCTTAAACCCAAAGTGGTATACTGGCTCTACACGACGATAGTGCGTCCATCTCTCTTGTACGGCTCCCGGGTCTGGTGGCCTTGCATTAGAACTGAGACAACTAAGGCCAAACTCAATAAAATTCAGCGTTTGGCCTGTATTAGCATTACAAGCGCAGTGCGAACAACGCCATTGAGTGCAATGGAAGCTCTGTTGGATCTCCCACCGTTGGATCTGGTGATCCGCGGTGAAGCAAGAGTAGTCGCTCATCGACTGTGGAGTCAGGGCAGCTGGGCTTTCTTGAATCCTGTCAAGGGGCATACTACCATCTTAGTCAAATTAGAAAGGGAGGACCCCGTCCTTCTAAGCAGGGGTGATCGTATTACCCCTAAATATCGCTTCAACCGCAAGTTTATTTTGGAGTATCCAACGAGGGAGGAGTGGGACGCCGGTAGCCGGGGACTCTCCGAAGTGAGCGGGCAGGTCTGGTACACGGACGGCTCGGTCACCGATGAGGGCTCAGGTACTGGGGTCTCTGGGCCTAGAACTAGGCTATCTCTGCCTCTCGGTGGATACACCACCACCATTTTCCAGGCGGAAATCTTTGCGATTCTGGCTTGTGTATCTCACATTCTGGAGGAGGGTGGGCCTAGGACAAGAATAACAATCTTATCCGACAGCCAGGCTGCAATGAAAGCACTAAGTGCCTGTAAGGTTACTTCGAGCCTTGTATTACAATGCAGGGAGGCTCTGGATGGACGCTTCTGCCTATCTCTGGATAGAGCCAAGCTAAGGTTGCTGGTGGGACTGTTGTCTGACCATAACACGTTAAGGCGTCACCTGCACGTGATGAGGGTGGCTGAGGATCCCTTGTGCGAACGCTGCGGAGTAGAGGAAGAGACATCGGCGCACGTTTTGTGTCGCTGTGAAGCTCTGAGCTACTATAGGCAGACTATACTGGGGTCTATTACCTTGGACCCTCAGGACGTCAAAGAGCTTGGACTCAAGGCGATTCTCAACTTCGCTAAAAGGGCGAGGCTTGTGATTTAAGGATTGTAGAGGTGCATAAGGGTCCGCTTAAGTGGCCTATGCACTGGCTCCTTATGGTGGCCGGGATGCATCTAATTTTAAGATTCATTCATTCACTCAATCATCATGCTAAGTAAATTTTAAACAAACAAAATATGGGGGGGGGGGAATGAAGGGATCATTAATATGGGAACTTAACGCGGCAGCCGTGATGTTGAGTAAAAACGTTGAGTCTATAGAAATCGCCCGCGACATGTGATAATTTCCAAACTAACATACCTATATACAGCTTGAAGTGAAGCGACCTCCGCCTGAATATCCACTATGAACTTAGCTCTAATCGACGCGAAGTTCCGCAAAGTGAGTATCTCATCAAACATGACATTATGAACAGCCAATTGGCTTCTGAGTCGCATAGTGCTCGACTGCATCAACGTCAATTTCTGCTCGATCTTTTTCGGCTCCTGCAGTTTCTCCCATGCCAGCTTCAGATTGCTTTCCAGGCTGGATGCCTGCGAGAGGACATTCTGAGAGAAGACGCCTTCCTTGAGGAGGACGTTCCAGGCTTTTGTGTAGAGATCGTCTAATGGCACCTAGAACAAGCGAAAATAGCCTAAAAACAGGGGGACTGCCGTTAAACGAATATCCCGTAGTTTTCAATGGTCGAACCTCAAAGAAACCGTTCCTTTAAAATGATCATTTAACTTCTCTAGCTCCGCGAAAAGCCCCGATAAGACCCGCACCCTTAAGTCGTTAAAAATTTTAAATCGTTTGGACAGCGGTATTTGTTACGAAAGATGTCTTTTAAGTTTTGCACATAGAAACATAGTAGGCCACGCGGATCGAACGTCAGTACTGAATCTTAACCTCACTCTTTAGTAAACTTAAATTCAGAGTTTCACAACAATACGTGCAGTGTTCTCACTACAGTGAATTTTTAAGTGTCACTAAGTCATTAGAGAAATGGAACTCAACCGAGAACATTTTCGCGCCATAATTTATTACAACTTTCAGAGACAATTATGGAAACAAGAATGCCTTGCTGAGTTACTGTCTGTTTTTGGCAACGAAGCGAAACATCAATCGACAATATCCCATTGGTATGGAGAATTCAAAAGTGGACGGGTGAGTCTTAGCGACTGGGTGCACCCAGGAAAACGTCGATGCTGTGCGCAGACTCATCATTCAAGATAGACATGTCACATATCGCGAGATTGAGGCGTCCTCCAATTTTACATGAAGAATTAGGAGTAAGAAAAACAGTTTCTCGTTGGATACCCCACCTGCTGACTGAAGAGCATAAAGCAGTCAGGTGTCAAAAAACGCTTGACCGTTTCAATTCCGGAATCTCAAAAAATGTGTACAGCATTGTTAGTGGTGATGAATCGTGGATTTACAGTTATGAACCAAAAAATAAACGACAGTCGGCTGTTTGGGTGTTGCAAGGTGAATAAAAGCCAACAAAAGTCATCCGTTCTCGAAGTGTTTCGAAAAAGATGGTCGCGACATTTGTGTCAAAAGCGGGTCATATTGCAACAATTCCTCTTAATGATCAAAGAACTGTTACTGCGGATTGGTATACCACCATTTGTTTGCCAAAAGTCATCACCGGGCTTCGAAAAATCAACCCCGAAAGAAGAATCATCCTCCACCAAGACAATGCAAGTTCACGCACAGCCCAAAAAGCAAGGCAGTATTTAACGAAAGAAAACCTGGAATTATTGGACCATCCTCCATATAGTCCCGATCTAAGTGCTACCGGTTTCTTTACTTTCCCGAAAATTAAAAACGTGGTCAAAGGTTCCAGTCATCAGAAGAAGCTGTTGACGCATTCAAAAATGCCGTTTTGGATCTGCCAGCAAACGAGTGGAATAAATGCTTCGAAAAACAATAAAGTCATTTAAAACTACCTACCGTGTTGTTTTATTTCCATATGCAAAACTTAAAAGACTCCCTCGTATTAAACGAATTCATTTTATTTAAGCTGAAAACAGGTGGGACATACATACATGCTATATTAAACTGTCAATATAGACATTTTTCTTGAAGTTAGGACCTTCCTTCGCTCAGCGTTTAGTTCTAGTAAAACTAAAACGTCCGGCATGTTTTAAGCTGTGGAAGATGAAATATTTTGAAAAAGAAGATTTAAGTGTTTTTTATCAATTTTAGCTGTTATACCACACTAGCTTTGTTATTTCAAATGTACCAGATCTGTAAATCAAGTGATGTTATTGGCAACGTAGCGTTGGATCTGATAACGCTGGAGGCGCCGGGCTTAGAGGGGAGACAGGATCCATTACAAGTTTGAACTCATGGTTTCACAGATGGTAAGATCACAATGTCAGCCATACATTCCTTTTATGAGAAGTTTATAGAATACATCGACGCGGGCGAGTGCCCTACTGGGGTATTCTGTGATCTCAGTAGGGCATTCGACTGCGTTGATCACAACAAATTCTTGGAGATTATTGTTAAATATGGTTTTGTCGATCAGTCTCTTAAATGGGCCAGATCGTTTTTAGTCCAAAGAAAACAATATGTTTCAGTAGAATATCTTGATGCAGGGAACAATATGAAAAACTTTGTGTCAAGTACGTTAGACATCTCGATTTTAGTCCCTCAGGGCTCTATTCTTGGACCAATCTTTTTCCTCTTATACATTAATCGGTTTGATAATGTTCATCCAGATACCCATTTTACAGCATATGCTGATGACGTTTCTGCGATAATATCAAGTAATTCAAATATAATTTTGGAAGATAAATGTAACAACTTAATTCGGAATATCAATACATGGTTTAACCAGTACTCACTTTACTTGAATCCTTCCAAAACAACGCTTATTCGTTTTCATCATGCTCAAAAAACTGTAGTAGGGTTTCAAGTTAGATTGGGTGACGATCAACTCGATTTTAGAGAAGTGAAATTTCTTGGAGTTCATCTTGATTCGAACTTAAATTGGAAGGCCCACTGCGAATTTCTCACATCAAAAATGTACTCTCAAAGCTATGTGTTGAGGCAATTAAAAACCATCTTAACAGCTGAACAATTGATACAGGTTTATTTTGCTAATGTGGATTCGAGATTAAGATATGGAGTATGTTTCTGGGGTTGGTCAACGCGCTCTGAAAATGTATTTGTGTCTCAAAAAAGATGCATCCGATCATTAGCAGGCATCTCACCAACAGAAAGTTGCAAAAAATATTTTATAAGTTTCAACATTTTAACTGTCCCTTAGTTGTATATATATGAATTGTGCTTACATGTTTTTAAAAATAATGAAAAATTCAAGCGGAATTGTGATATGCATAATTATAATACAAGGACTTGTAATAATTTATATGTAAACTTTAGCAAATCAAAAGCGGCATTTCGATCACCTAATAAAATTGGTCCGCTTCTTTTTAATAATTTACCATGCCACATTACCTCGGTTAAAAATATTAACGGCTTTAAGTTCCTGTTGAAGCAATTTTTGATAAACAAGTGCTTTTATCGTGTTGATGAATTTTTGAACATTGCAATTTGAGACTAGTTGTAGGTTTGTAGCGAACGAAAAATTGACAATTCCAATACAATTATATATTGTCTGTATGGAAATAAAGGTTATTGATTGATATTGATATTGACTCGCTCGAGTACCTTGGTTGCCCATAGCGATTTTTTTTTGTCAAAGAGTTTTTCTATTGTGTTCTAAAAATGAGTGACATCAACTTCGAGCAACGTTGTGCTATCAGGTTTTGCTTAAGACTTCAGCAGGCCTAGGAGATACTGTTTGATCAAGAGCCCAGGTTTTAGGCATTTTCAGAAGGGAGAGAGTCGGTTGAAGAAGAACCACGAAGCAGAAGGCCTTCATTTTCAAGAACCGATGAAAATATCGACAGAATCCGGGATCTTGTGCGTTCAGAGAGTTGGTTGACAGCCAGAATGATCGGAGAAGAGTTAAATTTGAATCACACCACCAAGAACAACTGGCTGTTGCATCATGATAATGCAAATTGTCATACAGCTGTTCTTAGACAGTAAATACATTCATGTGACTCCTCAGCCTCCTTATTCGCCTGGCTTGTATCCTTGTGACTTTTTTCTGAAAAATTTTGGGACATCCGTAAGCGTTCAAACGGCTGTAACCGACCAGCAGAAGGTTATTCTAATATCGGAGTTCCAGTAGTGCTATGAGGAATGTAAAAACCATCTCCAGCGTTGAGTGGCTTCAGGAGGAAGTTATTTTGAGGGTAACAATATAAAATTTTAATTATATATCAATAAATAAACTAAACAAAATCTGTCTCATTACTCAATTTACAGACTCGTAGTTGTTTCTAAAAAATCCGAACTATCAGAACACCTTGAATAAAGTCTTTATTTCGTATTCGCTCCTCACATCGAGGTCTTAGTCTCATCAGACGTTTATCTACAATTTTTGTGAAATCAGTAGCCATACTCTAGTTGGTGTTCAACAACTTTTTTCTTCTTATGGTGTCAAAAAATGTATCTTACTTTTACTCCCTGAATCAAGGATTAGGCTTTGAGATGCGATTTTTTTATACCAAAGGTAATGGAGTATGGTGTATCAACGCTAAATTTTACAAAAATTGTAGATAATGTGTTTTCACACTAAGACCTGGATATGATGGAAATGGAACAACCTGATTCTGGGGTAGTGGAGGCACGTTTCTAAAAAAAATTACATTTTGGGTAAAACTAGGCGAAGGATGAAAAAAACCCATTACAGTATCACAGTTTACAAATAATGATATATACTGACTTTGAAGTTGAGTCATTAATTTTCAGATAATGATTGTAGAAGGAAGATAAACCAAAAGATGTGTGTAAAAATAAAAAAAAAATTAAAAAGAAATTGTTACCTTGTTTTATAAAGTATCCTCCCGACAAGTATTTCAGTGCGCACCTGTATTTGATCGTGCGGTCTTGGAGCACCGGCATGCCCTCCCCTGTGAGGTCTTAAGTCACCTGATTCACGAGCCCTTTGTACTACATTCAGCATTTTTTATTTCGTTTGAGCCACGCAACAAACACCACTATTCACTCACGCGTTACCGACTGACACATTGACTGAATAAAAACATCGTGATCAGCGTTTCAAATTCTTTCGCTTTTTTGTTTCCGATGCGATGAACGGATAAGGCGGATTATATCCGTTGTTGCCAAACACGAGCACATAATATTATTATTGAGACAGGGCGGTACTCAAACTTCTAAAGGGCTATAACTTTGTTACTTTTACCAGAAAATGTTAAAGAAAAAAAACATTTCTTTTGATCAGATCTACTCACTGTTAAAATAAATGACTCAACTTCGAAGTCACCCTGTATATATATATATATCTGCATTCCGATTGTTTCACTAAAATATCTTCTCACGCGTAATACTTTTTAATTTGTTCAGGTGGGTTGATATTTTGAACATGTAACGAAGGTATCTGTCGTTTTCAACATGCCCAATGTCCCCGTCCTTTTGTTTTTATACTGATTACAAGTTCTATCTTCTCTACCTTCGTTTTGAAACACCTTGTGGCTGCAACCTCACCGACGAAATCCTGATGAAGGCACCATAGAGAATGCCGGCCATTTTCAACATTTACTTGCCTAACGGGTCAGTTCATTCTTCATTTTTAAATTACTTTGCTGCCAAATGTATTGATCTCCACTAATGATGATGTATTAGTTTTATTTAAGCTTTAAATCAAGAAATCTTCAAAACTACTGAACTGAAGTACATTAATTTTATATCATTATAAAGGGACTTGAAAGACCTTTAAAATAAGGTATCACTCGACCCCCTTTCCATTTAAGATTTTAGGGTTGGTGCCACCCTCGCCCAGGGAGCTGCACGTATTCACGTGATTTTTTGGCAAACTTGTGTCCCTGTATATATACTCACAAAAAAGGTAAACACCTACGTACGTTTATTATAATTCAAGAATTTTTTACAGATCGATTTATCTAGCCATGAACAAGTGATAAAATGGTCAGGTTTTTATGTTAACTTTTTGCGATGGCTGCGTGTATTGTTTGGTGATGAAGCATTCAGTTTTCGTACACATTTACGGTGTCAGTTGCATGTTAAGTTTTGTGTAGCTTATTGAGAAGCCTTTTTGTGATTGCTCAAAATGCCTAGAGTGCCTGGAATTCTCCGGGTGTCCCAGATTAGTGACTTTGAGAGGGGTCGAATTGTCGGGGTGCGTGAGGCCGGTCTATCGACAAGAGAAGTTTCTAGGAGGAAATGAGGACCAACAGATCCTTACGTAGTATACTGGAGTGTGAACGAGCGTGGACAGCCGAGGAGAGCGAGCGAGGGGTTCTGTCCCAGACAGACCATAGAGCGACCAGACCGCTGGTTAAGACTTCTGGCTGTGAGAGACAGATTCAGTAGTACTCGAGCCATCGCTAATCAGTAGTTTGAAGAGCATGGAAGGGTGGTTGGGTGGTTATCGTCGAATCAGGTGGCCTTTTGAATGACGAATCCCGCTTCTGTCTGGGGATGCACGATGGTCGGGCAAGAGTAAGAAGGCGATGTGGTGACCCACAATTTGACAGAGAGCGTCACGTTCTCCACACTGTGGGAGTTATGTTATGGTATGGGGTGCTATTTTTTATGGTAGCAGATCACCACTCATTTTCATCACAGGCAATATGACAGCCCGACGCTATATTCAGGAAGCAGTGGAGCTTCATCTTATTCCATACCTAAACACCATCCAAGGGACACTGAACATATGCCAAAAATTATTAAAATCGGATAAACATACGTAGGTGTTTACATGTTTTGTCACTCAGTATATCTTTTGATAAAAATCTAACTTAGTAAACTTTGATACCTTGCTTTCAGCTCCGATGTCCTTTTGTTCAATCTCATGTGTTATATCGAGTCCCAGCTTCTGCAAGAGGAAACAAACGGCGTACGTGATATTCTCCGGTATGATTCCCAGTATGTTCCTGGATATAAACTCTGCTATGAACTGCTTGACTGGTTTCGCCAGTTGATCGTCAGTTAGAAGCATATTACTACCCATTCCTTTCAGCGTAACGCAAGTCTCTTGAGCCAGCACGAAAAATTCGGAAATTGTCTTGATACGCTTCAGAAGGAATATGTCTTCTAAAATAGCACGCACCTGTTAGAAAAAAATGATTATTCTCAGCAAAATTATTATAGAGAACTAAAAATTTCCGTCGCTATAATTATTCGTTCGGCCCAAATCGAAGTCAAATCAACAGAACTGAGTCGCATAATTTTATATACAGGATGTTTCCTACTTGATTGTCAATATTTAAGGTGGCAATTTTTTGTCTATCTTAAGAAAACTTCATATACACATACGTACTAGACGTCTTAACTTTCGAAAGACAAGATCGTAAAGTTTTAAAAAATAAAAAAGAAGTAAGGATACAAAATACGTAAACTCTGAAGTAGTATTTTTTTTTAATTTCCACCGGTAGCGATCATATGGAATTTTATCGATTTCTCTTAAAATAAGAATGATTCTTCAAATCCCCAATCATTTTAAGCAAATGTGAAGCTAGATTTTTCAATCCGATGCACAGTTTTCACTTAAAAAAATAAAAACATGTTTCTGCATGATCATCATTAGTATGACAATATTATATACCTTGTAGAGAAATATATTTTATTTTTTTAGGCGAAACCGAGCGTGGGACTAACAAAATCCAAAAAATTCAAAAGATCTGCTCATATGCGAATAAGGATTCCAAAAATACACTTCAGACTTTACATACCTCGTATTTATTTTTGGAACTTTACCACACTGTATTTCAGGAGTTGGGACGTTTAAGGCACACGTTCTCAAGTTTTCTTCTTGAAATGAATCCAAAAACAATCCCCTTGAATACTGACATCCAATTAAGTAACACTCTGTATAGAGATTAAAAGTTATAATTACGAAATGGGTAATAGGGGGGGGGGTCAAAACAAGTCAAAAAGTTCTGTGACCCATGGTATAAAAGTCAATAGATTTTTGTCTAAATCACCACAATCTTACTAATTTTTATAATCTAATCTAAAACGTTTTTAAATTGGGTAATTAACAAATAAATGGCATAAGTTTTTCTAAGTTAAGCCAAAATTTGTAGTCAGTAAGTGAGTTTCATTAAATTAAATATTTAAAACCCACATGACAACAGCGCGTCGGTCATTCATAGCTCTTATCGAACCGGCAATCGATCGCAAACGGTAATAGTGGTTAGTTATTGTTCGCGTACATCGTCGTTTTTATTTACAATGTTCTCGAATCAAGAGTTCGCCCACATGTTGTTTACGGTGAAGCTCGTCAAAATTCAAATCTTGCAGCTCAAATTTATCGCGACAGATTTCGCCAACGGGTACACTCAGACAGAAGGACATTTGTGCAAGTGTACCAAAGACTTCGAGATATAGGAAGTGTTCAGCCCACTAATATTCGCACCCGTGAAAGACAGGTTACTGTAGAGCAGGAGGAACAAATTTTAAATATCGTGGAAATCAATGCAGATATCAGCACTCGCATACTATAGTCCATAGAATCCTACGGGAAAATTAGCTTTATCCCTACCATGTACAACGCGTGCAGGCCTTGTTACCAGAAGACTATCCTCGCAGACTAACATTCTGTCAGTGGTTTTTGCACAAAAACATTGAAAATCCGGATTTTTTTAAAAACATTCTAGCGACGGACGAATGTACTTTTACGCGAGACGGGATATTAAATTTCCATAATACTCACACGTGGGTCCAAGAAAATCCTCATACCATTCGTGAAGGTCATTTCCAACAACCTTTTAAAATAAATATTTTGGCAGGTATTCTTGACGATGAGGTAATTGGGCATTCCGAGTTACCCCCAAAGTTGTCAGGAGAAGGATACCTTAGCTTTCTAGCCAATAACCTATCAGAACTTTTGGAACAGACCTTAGACAACATGCCATTACAACGGAGACAGCATTTGTGGTTTCTTCATGACGGGGCACCACCACACATTTTTAGAGGCGTCATTCAGTATTTGAATGAACACTATCCAAATCGCTAGATCGGTCGAAATGCTCATGATCGTCGAAAATGGTCAGCAACATCTCCAGACCTCAATCCGATGGATTTCTGGTATTGGGGAGAACTTAAAGGGATGGTTTATGGGGCTGGTCGAATAACAACTGAAGCACAACTTCGCGAAAAAAATTTTAATGCGGCTGAAATAATAAATGGACAACTTCGAGGACCTAGAGTAAGAAGAAACTGGGTTCGTAATGAAGCTTGTGTGGAAAGTGGAGGACGACATTTTGAACACCTTCTTTAAATACAAAAAAAGTGCAGCGTGGGTTTTAAAAAGAAAAACAATGTATGTACCAAAATTGCGTTCCCTATTTATGAGTGGATTTTTTTTAATACGTTCAATAAACTTTCACACACCAGGTGAAGCGCTGAGACAGTTAGTGGTATGTCCGTTTTTTTAGTTGTTTGCGTTTTACGAGTACATTTCAAATAATAAAATAATACCTAAGAGCAAAAAATAACAAACTCCATCTTTATTTACACTGCGTTCCGTCGTAATTTGCGTCTCGCATTGCGGCGTTGTCAGATTTTATTTTACTTTAAAGTCGCTTTTCTCTAAAAAATGCCGTTTTGACCTCCATGATATATGAAACTTTTTGCTTCTTTTAATCCCCTCTACCACCCATTTAAATAATGACTATCATAACGTTTACACCGTGTATTACCTCGGCATGGAAGATATGTGGGGCGATGCTCTTAGCTTCCTTCACATGGTCCAATTTCTTCCAAGATTTGGGTATTTCTAAATCGCCCAGGGTTGCGACTAAGTTGTTAATCTCCTGGTTGAGCTTATCGAACAGTCCGTTGAATCCCATAAGCAGCATTTGGCCTTGGGTCAGGGATTCATTCTGGTTAGGAATGAGCATCTGGAAGCGTTTCTTCGCGAACGCAGTTCTTTCGAGGACATATTCGTAGGCAGTCTGAAATGTTTAATGACTTGATTTCAAGACAGATGGGAGTAAAAAATATCAAGTTACATTTCAACTGGAAGCCAAAACAATGGTAAGATCTTTTTTCAGCGCTTTCCAAAAATATTATTTTCGAGCCATCAATAATACGGAGGACTATAAGCAATATTGCGTTAACCATAAAAATTCGCAAGGTCTCCTAGAGGGGACCAATTTTTTGTATTTTTTAAAAAGTCCGCCTTAAGTTGACGTCGATCGATCTCATCACTGAGATGGAAGGAAACATCGATTTTATGGGAAAACATACATCCTCAGACTGGTAAAAACTTGTTAAAGTCGTTCTCTACACCATGTTTCGTACCCTTTCGAGCCTTTTTTGCTAACCATGGAAACAAAAAGGTAGGTTTCGTATTATCTACATTACGATTGGTTTTTTTAATGCATTTTTATTCAAATAATAGAAATTATCGAACGAGTAATTATACGTACTTTTGAAGTTTGATATCTCAGGTCCCCTCCAGGGACCTTGGGCACGGAGAGCACTAAACGTTGATATAGATGTCTTTATTGAAAGGTGACTAAGTAACATAGATATTTTTTTCTATATACGTCTTAATCCTAAATAAAATTTGGAATAAAAATAGAACAACTATTTTACATTATGTTTTTTATTGCAAACTAAGTGCAAAAACCAAGTGCAAAAAGTTTTATTTTTTCAATTTATAATAAAATTTATTCATTTCCCACGACTACTACCGAGAGGATCATATGTTATTTCATATATATGTGTGGGAATAAAAATAAATAAACATTAATTATATTTTATCTAATTAACCTCAACAGTATCGATAATAAGAAAAAAATCCGAGGTCCTTACTAGTTACCGGGTCGTGAATTATATAGTGTCGCTCAAAAGGTTTAAAAAAGACGATTTCAACAGCGTCCTTTTGGAGGTCATTTTTTTTAGGAATTGGTGGCATTATTTTTTTGTTTTCTATATGCATTCGAGACACTACTATGGTATTCTGGAACAGCCTGTACATTTCATTAGAATGCGAACGATACAATTAAGTGCAAAATCATTAAGTTTAACGAAAGTTAGACGCTAACCTCCAAGGTAAAACGCTTTGATCGGAAAACGAATTTTTCATCTTTGTTCAGATTTTATCCAGTTCAATGATCTTGTGTAAACTTCTCCAATGTTCACATGCTATTACTATGGGTCGAGACACAATGATTGCCCGGAACAAAATCGAAAAGTAAAAAAATATAAAAAAATCAACGTACATTAACATCCATTTGCATGAGTACACAAGTGAGCAATTTCTCAAGCTGCAGTATCATATCACTGATGGAAAGACCGATGTCGACAATAAGTTTGTTGACATCAAATATCATTTGCAATACAGTCGGTTCGTCGCACTGGATCTTCTTCATAGTTTCTGGCATGATGATCGTGTGGAAGTTGAAGTTCAAATCGTACAGACCTTGATAGATGTTGCTCGAAATCTTTATACCATTTAGAACCTGCACAACAAACGTAAGATGTACACTAAAATTACACTGCCATACTTAGGTTCCAAGGCAGTAAAGTATAAAAATAGAAGTATAACTTTTTTGCTATCAGTCGGATCTTTTTACGTGTGGTCTTATTTTGTAGGTCTCATAAATACCTAAAAATCTTATATGAAGAGTTTTTTCGTTCCTCCCAACACTTTCGATTGAATCCCAAAAAACACGTTTTCTCATTCTTTGTTGTCGAATAAAAAGTAAAAACACTTTACAATTATTTCTTAAACAAGCGGTATTTTCGTCTAATGTGATTAGACTACTTAGGAAATTTGTATGAAACATTTGTCAAAGTGGAAAAATAACTATTTTTGATGATACATTTTGTAATTGTAATAATAAAAGAAATGTATTGGCGTCAACATTTAAAAAAGGCAGTAAATGAGCCTTAGTGCCTTTTACCTAAGTACAGCAGTATAACAAGGACGAAAAGAATTTGAGGACTTCGTCTAAATGCTTTGAAGTCTTTGACAACAAAAGAAAAAATGGAACAATACGTCCAAAGCTCACTTTATTCCTTGAAGCATGAATCTGTTCAATAATCTGTTTTTTTTTGTAAAAATTATATACATAAATGACAACATTGACTGTGTTCACGAGAAACTTCTCAAAGTGTCTCGCTAGTTCCACTTTAAGCACAACAGCCATATGAAAATATTAGTTAATCGGTTGTCGACGCGTTAGAGTAAAGAAGTCCTTAACCAAGATTCGTTATATTGTACTTGAAACTGTGTACGCTGCAATCTGTGCATTCCTTCTAATATACGAGTTGCAATCTATGTCCAACTCGTACATATTTTCATTTAACGACTCGAGACCCGATTTTTTTGAGCTTTGGAATCGTTACTTAAATTATACTCTACCTTGTAAAACTTTTCGTCATAGTTTTGCCTGGGCGGCAAGTTCCCAATAATCTCGACCGCTCTGGCGCTGTTCAGCAACAAATCGTCCAAGAACCAATCGCCATCTCTGGACGTGAGCTTGATCAGCCAATCGCCGCTGCGTTGCGCCGCCACCTCCAACGTCAGCAAGTTCCTGTTCAGAAGCACCAGCTCGCTGGCGATGACGAACTCCATGGCGCTAGCCGCACCTTTTTCGCGAGCCAGGAAGGTCGCTACACCTGCTTTCGCGTTCGAGTACATTTTTTCTAGAGAGGTGCTCACGTCTTTTGTTCGAATCGTCGCTAGTTCTTCGAATAGTTTGTTCACCTGTAGAGAATACCATAGCGCATTGGAAAGAAAATAGTTACATACAGTATATTCAGATAAGAGATAGACCGGATGTAAACAAAAGGTTCGGGTGATTTTCACGCTAACGCCGCCGTCTCGACGTAAAACAGGAGCCCTCATTGGTCAATTCGCAATTAAATGCCTATGCCGAGCGGCAGAGCAGTCGTATCAAGGCAGAGTCACATTCAGGTTCAGACGTGTTACGTATGTCGTGTGCATCATTGCAATTTGATATTTCTTTGGACGTTTTCGTTTGTTATCTTATTAAGTTGTTGAGTTTGTCGTTGTTATTGTTATACCTTGTTATTGATTGTTATTGTTATCAACTGCTTGCGCAAAATGCCCAGTAGTACAGATACTGCCGATGAAGTTGTAAACTCCTGTAGTCCGCCTAGGAAACGCTCTAAAAAAAGACACCTGAGTGCAGAAATGAAAGAGGTCATTTTGAATATATATAAGATCGAGCGCGAGGAGAACGAGGCATCAACCATCAAAGAAATTGTTGTGAAGGTTTCTCACAAAGTTGGGGTGTGTCACGCATCAGTGTTTAATGTGTTAAGACAATACAAAAAAAATCACACCTTTTCTGAGCCAATGACCAGTAAACATCGCAAAAGTATTGTTAAATCATTGGATGAAGCTGATAAGCATGCGATTAGGAGGAAAGTGCATGAATTCTTCTTTAGGAATGAAATATCTACTATAGATGAAGTACTGCAGGAGGTAAATGGAGATACAACGTTGCCAAATTTCAAACGATCAACTTCCATGCGTTACTGAAGCATTTAAATTTCAAATGGAAAAAACGGGGTCGTAATAGTTTACTACTGGATAGAGAAGAAATTGTGCTATAGAGGAGGGATTATTTAACAAAAATTGGGAAATATAGAAATCAAAACATGAAGATTTATTACCTTGATGAAACGTGGGTAAACGCAGGACACACTACAAGTAAAGTATGGGTTGATGATTCTGTAACTTCATCCAGGAGGGCCTTTCTAGATGGACTGTCCACCGGATTAAAAAATCCAGCAGGTAAATACGAGTAATAGACAACAATCGGATGTTTTTCAAACCTTGGGAACAAGGTTCTAAACATTAATTCCAGGGGGCAGATAAAACATATTACAAGTAACAAAACTTTTATAACTTTCGATAAAATGCGTGGATGTTTTATTGTCATTTTCATTTGTTAGAACTTTTTTAAGCCATGTTTTTATGTGTTTTCGATATTTCAATAATTTTTTAATATAATCTTAAAATATGTCGAATATTATAAACTTAAAAAAAGTTACTAAGTTTTATATTGTGTACCGTTCCTAATATTTCTAATCATTTTAATTCATACTTTAAGCTTTATAAAGTTATAATTTGTTAATATTAATATTTGCGCGTATTTCAGGTTCCTGATCATTCATTTTTTAAAGGTTTATAACTTTAAATTAAATTGTGAAGCGCTGAGTAATCATACGACGTTCAATATTCTTTCTTTCAATATGACTAAATAATCCCAATTATAGCAATCTGTCTCAATGTTTTTTCGCTGAATGTGATGAAAACATTTGAAAAAGGTTCGCTTATTGAAATAAATCTACACCAGTTAGTACTTCGATTTCCAGGTAAAGGGAAAAGGCTCATTATCTGCCATATTGGCAGTGAGGATGGATTTGTTGTTGACGATCTGTGGTGCTTTGAGTCTAAGAAAACTGGAGATTACCACGAGGAAATGAATGGCGAATCGTTTGAATAGTGGTTTTCAAAAATTTTACCGAACTTAGAGGAAAACGCAGTAATTGTGTTGGATAATGCGCCTTATCATTCTCGAAGAATGGAGAAGGTCCCAACAACGGCTTCAAGGAAAGTTGATGTTCAAAATTGGCTCCGCTCGAAAAAAATCAACTTTGAAGAAGCAATGCTGAAAGTACAATTATTAAGAATTGTCAAGGATCACAAGGCGGAATATCAAAAATACGCCATTGACGAAATGGGAGCAAGTCTAAATAAAACTGTGCTCCGTTTACCTCCATACCATTGCGAGCTCAATCCCATTGAGCTCATATGGGCAGAGGTTAAAAATTATATAGCTAAGCACAATACAACTTTTAAATTTTGTGACCTCAAAGGACTTTTCAAAGAAGCACTAGAATTAATAACAGCGCAAAAATGGGAAAACTGTATTAAGCACGTGAAAGACAAAGTTGAAAAGAGAATGTGGGAACTGGACAATATTTTAGAGGAACAAGTCGAGCCATTCATTATTGACGTTGGTGCTTCAGGCAGTAGCGATGATGAAAGCTCATCAAGCTCATCTTTCCAATAAAAGATGTCGTTCATCAAATTCAGTAAGTTATAAGTAATTATAAAGCTACTGTATTTTTTAATTAATTATTGACATTTTTGAACCCATTTTGGCAAAACCTATTCAAGAATCTACTTTCTGACAATGTTCAACCATGCACATTTTTTTACGTTTTGAACGTTTTAATTTGGTTACATATTTACCTAGAAATCAAAAAATATACTAATCAATATTCTAAAAGCAATTTTAAGAGATATACGATTATTTTTAATTTAGGCTAATTTAAACGCCATTTTGAGATTATATTCGAGTGTATTTCACCAAACATCAGGCGGCATCCGAAGCTGGAAATCGAAGCGAAAATTTTGAAACCCTTATGTATATTTACATCATTATATATTTCTTACCCCACCCCCACATGATCCTATATCCATCACCAATCGTATACGCATCGAATTGTGCTAATTTACTACAAAGTTACGCAAAGCAGCATCTACTATCTAAAATATGTACTGCGTGACTCTTAATACGTCCCTGCCGAATGTTACAGCGTTCGATGATCACGTGGTCTTGTTTATGTCCGGTCTATCTCTTATCTGAATATACTGTATGTATCTAGGGCGCAAAGCGGGCTTTTATGGCACATAGCGCAAAGTTAGATCCAAAGATGAAACGCGCCACGGTCTCAATACGCCAACATATTATAGTATGTTTTTGTCGCAATTAAGAGTAAAAATAAATTGACTATTACATCGCTGGTACTGGTGTCGTTCCCTAGCAACGAATAAGGATGGTTTCCGCGGTCGTCATATTGTGTTCAACCATTGATTAACGGATTTTACCTCAAAAAGACAACCGTGTACTGTATTTGGGCGTTCAAAAAATTATCTGAGATGAAATGAGATGTCCTGGCGGTGTCAATGAGAATTTGTCACACCTATGTTTCTCATCTCCGCAATAATTCGAAATCTACATTAAAAAAGTTAATGTAGCCAACTATATAAGCTATGAGCATATACCAAGTGTTTCAAATTCACGTGTATCTAACCAATTTGACATTGTGTTGTAAAAATTGTGTCAAGTAGACCGAATCTATGAGCCCACGCTGAAAACTTAGCTACACTAAACTTATCAATATATGGAAGATTTGGAACCAACACCAGTTAGATACTCCGCTTGTATTATTATTAGTTCTCTCGAATACTATATGAAATAATTATTTCCAGGAAAAGGAAAACGATTGGTTATCTGTCACATTGGCAGTGAAGATGGCTTTGTGCCCACTGCCCTATGGACATTTCAGTCAGAGAAAATGACGAGCTACCATGAAGAAATGAAATGCTCCCGGTATATAACGGGGATGAAGTTACCAAATTTCCAGCCAAAAGTCATTCTCCATAAGGATTTAGATTTTAGATTACCAGATGAAATGCCACCATGATTAAGATGCAACATTAATAACGGCTTTTCCAAATGCAATTGTACTGTATGTAGATATTACCTGCATGAGATTCTCCTTATACAAAGTATCGAGACTTAGAGCCACATTGACCACCTGCGCACTGTTCAGTATCTTTGTTGAATCGTGGAAGTCCTTAAGTTTTTCAAACACCACGTCACAGCTCTGAGAGTTCTTCATTTGAAGCAGGAACCTAACCCATTGCAAGTAAACATACACCCTGTGGTTTTGCAAATAGGTTTTTGGGCACTGACTCAAAATCGAGAAGTATTCGGTGTATATTTGCAGACATTTTCGGATGCCTAAATTCAAATGCTGCGATAGCTGAAACAGTAAAAGTAGGTACGCAATGTAACTTTATTCCTAGAGTAAAAGACTAAAATACAATACCTGGAAGACCTCTTGCTCAGAAGTTTCGCACTGAGCCACCACGTCGTCTTTTCCGGCATTGTGCAAAAATTCCTTCACCAAATCGAAAATTCTAACGTTCTCTTCAGCAGTTGCTGTCTTGGTGATCTCATTCAACCACTGGATGCATTGTTGCGTTTCCACGATGTTCTTATAGCTTTCGATGTGCTTCTCGCACGCTATCACAAGTTCGTCGATTTCTTTCCTGATAGAAAACAAAACTTGAATCAAGTTGCAAAAAAAACTGCAAAAATGCTATTTTCGATGCAGATAAAGTCAAGAAAATTCGTTTCCGCGTAGGTGTCGAGGATCTACTACTGATTACATCAATCACAACCTGTTTAAAGCAATCCTTTACTCCTTCATAGTTCCTACAGTACTCAATGTCTGATCAAGAATGAAAACAAGTTTTACCTTGCAGTCACCATAGCTTCTTGTGTTTTGTGATATGCTTCGTGATGGGAAGGCAGCTTGTACAGTGAATGATTGTTTGGCCCTTGAGCTTCGGCTTCTTTTATCAGCGCCAGCTGTTGATGTAGTTCTTGTAGTACACCTTCCGTTTCTGATATATCTTGCATAATTTCAGCGTATGAGTCAAGAGTTTCGGTGACGTGAGGTATTTCGTTCTCGATCTCGTCCCTGGATGAATAAAATCAGTAAAAAATAATACTGTCGCATTTTGCTACCAGAAAACCGGTAAAATGATGGCTACTATCACTAATGGTTTGGGTACCTAAATCTAAAAATGTTTACCCAACGTTGCTATAGTATTTATACTTTATCTAAAAGGTTTCCAAATTGGTACGTCGAGATTTTTGTTTTTAAATATGAATATGGGAGTTATGTTTTATAAATAACTAGCTTTCTGTCCCGCGATTTTACCCGCAGAACATGTACGTGCACCACTAATAAAGTAACCAAACTTCCCAGGCATGCAAGTTGGCTGTCAATTTACTGATGTCATCAAAAATACAAAATGTGGTCTATAGTTTATAGCATTATGTAAAAACAATGTTTACGATAGTAACAATTCAGGCGTACGATATCGCATGTAACAGCTAGTGCAAAATAAAATGCCTGTACCGCTTGACTGACACACGTTGAGTGGTATTGTTGCCGGCGTGACGCTGACGCTGGAGATTTTGGTGCTTGCCACAACAATTGTTTGTGTACAAGTGTATAGATTTTCACGTCACTCCGTATTGTGGTTCAAACGTAATACTGAGAGACTGGCCAGACATTCACATTTATGTAGAGATATTCTACAAATGCTCCCCTCATCGGCTTCTACAGATGGATATCCTTGGAATAAAATTTTCAGTTATCGTTTGGCACAAATGCGGCTCAAGTTCACCAATAACTTGAGAAATATTTTGCTCCCCTCCATTAGTTCTCTATGGATTGATTGATTATAAATTATCCTTGAGGAATCCTCTTTAAAAATGACGAGCAGGTTAGATTGTATGATATCTTAGGCCATTGCGAGAAATAAGGAAAATATGACCCTTATCTTGTTGAATGAACAGATGCATATTGTCCAACTGACCACGAAAAGTACATATTTGTAGTAATAGTAGTAGTAGAAACATTTATTTAGCACGTTTGGCTACATAAACAGAATTATCATAAACAACTTAGAATTAGTAAATTAAAGCCATATGACGCACATGCTGGGCAAGTTATAATTGTAGATTCAACAAGTGATTTCTCAATTTTACTTTGAATTTTAATTACTTTTATCTCTGTATTTAGTTTATTATATTCAATCAACCCTTCAGAGAATACAGATTTGTGGGATATATTATACTTTTGGACCTTAAAAATGAATATCATTACAAGGTATTTGATAAAATTTTCACACTTTAATTTGCTAAGCATTTGTCTAATTGAAGTATATCCATCTTCATTCAGTATTATTCTCATGTACTTGTTTTAAAAAATTTGAGTCTTTTGGAAATGAATTATTAGCTAAATATAGAATTGTCCAACAGTACAAGAAATTCGGAAGAACGATAATATTATAGATCATTTTTCTACTATATGAACTCAGACATTCAGGAACTCTCGATAAATATACCACATGACTACTAATCTTGTCTATATTTTTCTCATTATGAATATCAAAATTTGATTGAGAGTCAACAAAAACCCCAATGTTTTTAAAATATTTTACGAAGTCAATATCTTCGCCATGAATATTTAGTTGAACATTTATACATCATTTTCTCCTTTCGTTTTACTCTTATTTAATTTGAGTTTGACAGATGCTAACCATTTTGAAGCAAATTTCAAGTCTTCATTTATATAAGAGATACCAGACTGAATTTCTATTTATTGTATAAATCAAAGTGTCATCAACGGAAATTTGAATTTTGCATGTTTTGACTATAGCAGGTAAATCGTTTATATATAAAATAAAAAGCGACCCCAGGATACTGCCATGAGGAACACCGAAATATTTTCAATTTTTGATGAAATAGTGTTATTAGCTTTTGTTAACTTGCATCCTTTTAGACAAATAATTTAAACCAGTCTAAAACACTTCCTAATTACCTAACAAAATATCCTATCAATTGTTTCAAATGCTCTCTTCAAATCCAAAAATACATAATTTTAACAAAAAAAAGAGAGAGAGAATCTCCCGAGTATATTTGTACAATTCTGATGCATTCCTCGCGTAAAATGATCCATCATTAAGCTTCCGATCTGCTGAATGACATACGCGCAATATAAAATACCTAAGCAGTTGAAACTTAGGACACTCTGTCAAATAAAGTATCTCCTAAAAGTTTTGGCACAAGATTTATTGGCTTTAATTTTAACAAATACAAAATAATATCAAGATGTCTTTGGAAAAAGAACCATTTATCGAACAATCGCGGAGTGCGAGCAGGACCATGTCTAAATCTCCCAAAAAGTATTTACTGCACAGAGGTCGGAGGGATTGGCGACTCCTTCGTATACCAAGATGCTGTTCTCAACTGACGTTGGTGTACTTTGCCAATGGAAAAATCATTATTTTAGATGACGAAAAGTATTTCACTTAAATTTTCACTTCAATTCTGAAAAGAAGGGAAACGAGTGATTTTATACGGACAACGTAGAGGAATGTCCTGACAATATTACCTACAAACATAAAGCGAAATTTGCAGATAAAATCCTTGTCCGGTGCACAATTGCTAACAGGGGTGTATCTCAACCTTTGGTGGAAAGAGTGACGGCGAAGATGTGAATAGTCAGAGCTATATTGATAACAGCCTTTGCAAATTGCTTCAGTTTGCCCACGAACATCATGCTAATGACCATATCATGTTTTGGCCAGACCTAGTATCATACCCAAAACTGGCTTCGACAACACAACATACCTTTTGATAAAGAACAATTAGGTCGGCGATTTTACGAAAAACTAAGAAAAATTGATCTGAACTCGGTCCAGGACCTCATGAGAGACATTCGAAGAAAGCTGCGTCTGGTAGAGCAGAATGGTCCACTCCACATACTTCGATAGCATAGTTTAGTTCAGTATTAGGTTGTAATTTATGATAGCTAGTTAGTGTTTAAATTAATTTCTTCATTAAAAAAATCCTATAAATATATAATAATAATAATAATAATAATGCCTTTATTAACTGCAGTGAGGCGTAGTTTAGCCAGACGGCTACTCTTACACTCAACCCCACAACAGGAAAAAAAATACTTAAACATATAAACAAAATAATAACATACCAAAAAAAAATACAATTCATAAAAATGACAACATTGACTGCACGAGACAAATGCAGATAGCATTGCGAGAGTTTTAAATTTGAAACAAAAATAGTAGAAAATAGTCAAACAAAAAAAAAAGAAAAATCACATGAGCACAAGAAAAACTGAACTAAATGGACTCCAGCAGCTGACTTTTCATTAATTTCTTAAAAGAAATAACCTGTTTGGATCGATAGACACTGTTGACTGCATTGTAATGCTTGACAGCATTATAGGTGTAACTTTTTTCAAAGACCGAGGTATTGTGAGGAGGCATGTTAAAATTAGCATTAAATCTAAAAGCTCTGGTAACAAAACTACCTCGGTGAACTAATTTGCTAGCGAGGTAAGCTGGTCTGTTAGATAATAGAACTTTATGCGTGAAGACGGTCAAAAGATATAAAAATAACTTATCAATTAGCAACCAGTTGAGTTCTTTGATTTTATCTGAGACGCGACTAAACTTGCGCAATCCAAAAATAAACCTACAACAGCTGTTCTGAATTTTCTGGAGTTTCCTTTTGTGGACGTAGCCTAAACATGGGTAATACAGAACAAGAGAGTAAGAAATGAATAAAAATATTGTGGCTGAACTTTTAGGACATACGTTATCGTCCTCACCTGTTCTCAATCCACTCGATCCTCATCTCAGTGCACCTGACATCGAACATAGCCACCGTCACTTCTCTCTCAAGTTCCCGTTTCGTCTTCTTGAGACCGCCTCCAACGCTGCCCCTCGTCGCCGATGCCCCAGTCACAGTGGCGTGGTGCCCGCCTCCAAACGCCGCCCCTGCTAGTACTTCTCCGCCTACCGTCCAATCGATAAGAGGGTCATACACGAATGCCTCTAGAAGGGTGAGTAGAGTTTCGCGCCCTTTGCGCATGGTTCTAAGGACGTTTTCGCTCGCCAAACGGAATATACCCTGAAAGTAAGTATTTTAATGTAATGAAAGTTATTATAAAAACAATGTCTCGTCTCAAAAAGTATCATCGAACAGCGAAAACAACAGGCACAGCGGTGATATAATCAAGCGGAATCGCACAGCAACCCTCTGTTGCGTGATTCAGTGGACCACACAGTTGAGCAAATTCGCAAACTTTCAAGGCCGCGCCTAGCACTGTGATCAAAATTAAATTGTGAATCTCAGACCAACCAAAATTATTCCAGTATACAAAACCAATCAAAATTATTTTTGACCGATATGCGTTATCTACACTTCAAATGAATCATTTCTTTTCTTCGCTCTATTTCCTCTTTCCTTTGTTCCCTTTTCCCTTGAACAAGTTCGGTATCTGGGTAGCCAGACCTGACAAACCAACAGACCGACGACCGAAGAAACTTTTAACTAAGAGCAAAGGTTCACCAGATTGTTCTGACTTACAATGGTGAAAAATAATAGTAACTGTGAATAGAATAAGGAATCTAGGTCACGACCTTAATACTAGATTTACTCAAGAAATGGGTAATGGTCGAAATTGCGGATATATAAGAAGTTAAATAAATTCCTTCTGACTTTAAAGCTCCCCAAGTAAAAATTTCCATGTTCGTAACGCTTTGTTACAAATGAACAAAGCTCAATACCCTGGGGTACTTTGGAATGCTAATTTCGAACATGTCTATCGTGACTAGGTAGGCTCACTTATGTACGATGAATCTTGGACCTCTACATATCAAACTATATAAACATATTTCTGTTTCCATGGCAGAAGTTGTGAAAACATGAGTGACTGATTATGTCTGACAGGTGCATAATATTACCGGCACGGGTATTACGCATCTTGAAAAGTGACATTATGTCGATTTTTTTTAACATTTGGTTTTTGTGGCATTATGTAGGTTTTTCTACAAGATGTTAACTTAGCACTAGCTGATGAACTCGTTTTGTAGTTGTACGTGTTGCCTAAACGTCATGAGGCTTCAGTTATCAATCTTTGGCTCTGATGTAATGTAAAATCTGCTTCACAGATGGCATTACTGGAGGTCTAAGCTGTAAGTTGTATACTATAGCTAGAAGAAAATTGCAATGCATAGGTGCATAGTGAGGATTTGTGTGCTAATAATACGTACTGATGATAATTCCATTGGATTCTTGTCTCGAATACACTTACTTGAGATTCAAAGCTAGAAATTAGTTGCGCATCTACTTTTTCTTATCCATTCTGGAATTACTTATGCAAATTTGCTGGATTTCAAAAAGGAGAGAGCTAAATATTTATATTCTCTGTCAACAAAAATTGTAATTTATGACTTTGAACATAACCTGTCTTCAGAAAGGGCAACATATAAATAACCCGTCAGATATACTTCATTGGCAGTATACTCAGTAATGATTTCCTCATACAGCAAATATCGCTGATTTTGTACACATGCAAACCAATACACATAGTCATCCAGATGCGAGCTTGCTATTCAACCAACTTTCTCTTCAGAGATGAAAACTACAGACCACTCAGCTTCACAAAACATACGCAACCAACAATGCGTGTAGTTGAGTCATTTGTCCTTAGATGGACGCTCACAACGATCCTAGTGAGCAAATGTGGAATGACTGCACCCGCGCTCGCAACGCCGATTGAAAGTTATTTCTAATTATGAGCTCATTATACAGTACATCATTTAATTTTCCCATTTTTACCGGGATCAGAAGCTTCTTAAGGATGGAATGTCTTGTACACAACTGAGACTCAGAACTATAATTACTTTTTCAGATAGTCAAGCCGTACTTAAAGCGAGTCAAGTCCACCTACTCGGCATCGAAATTAGTGTGGAATTGCAAAGAAGCTCTCGGTGGCATAGGGGAGGGCAATGAAGTCCGTCTCATATGGATACCAGGACACACAGGTTTAGAGGGAAACGAGACAGCTGACACTCTGGCAAAGAGTGGGGCTAGCACACCCTTCATAGGGCCTGAGCCAGCGATTTTGATCACATAAAATACGACTAAACAAATAATCTCTGCAGAGATGGACAGAAAGATCCATTAATACTGGGAGGGATTAGCAGGGTTAACCCAGGCTAAGGCAACTATACCAATCTTAACATAGAAGGTAACAGACTCTTTGCTACAGCTGACTAGGGATAGCCTCAAAGCTCTAATAGGACTGTACACTGGTCATTGCAATTGCGTCACCACCATGAGCAGGCTGGGAGCAAGGAGGGAGATGAAGCGCTCAGTCATGTATTGTGCAGGTCCCTGCAATTGGAGACGTAGTACTCCAAGCAGAAGACCTGAAGGATATTTTTCCAAACAAGTTAATCGACACTTTCCCAGGAGGTTGGAGCTACTGGGGAAACTATAAATAGGTGTGAGCCACAATAGACCAAAGAGTCGCAGTGGAGGATCGTTATTGATGCACTTACAAGAAACCTAACCTAACCTAACCCTGTGGTAACTTGGGACGTTGATTTCGAATATGGCTATCCAAAAATACTATAACGTCACACGTTGCTATTGGAAAACAATTTGTTCGAATCCACATTTCTGTCATCCTATCCTGTAACAGCCTGAGTGTTAATATGAAGCAGTCATTAATTTAAAGTGCTTGTGTGCACAAATCGGCGATGTGTTAGTTGACTAGAAATATTTCCAATTTGATTTTGGAAAAATAAATTAAGCGCAATGTTTGCAAGCGAGATCGATTCACTGGTAGTTGATGAATATCATCAATCTACACATATATTTACATAGCGTGTTATCATTGCTATCTGTCTTCTTTTACATATATTTTCCTGTTTCAGATAGATTTATTTCTGTGTGGAGAGTGCATTTTATCTCTGTGAACCCAATGTATACAGGAGCTTTCACAAGATTATGCATCTTATAACCAAGGCACCTTATAACGCTGACAAATATTCAAAGCTTCACTTTTTACGTTCTTCGAATTCACCAGTCAATTTCTCTCATCACAAGAAGTTTGGAATTTGTATACCGGGATAATTCGGGTACATATAACTAATTCATGTCAAGTGCATACTTTACATGATTCCATTCTTTGAATATGCTGTGCAATAATGGAATTAAAAATAGTAATGTCTCCATTTGATTTCTTCATATAAAATTATAACACATTTCTCTCTAAATACTAGCTATTTACAGAAAACTTCAAGCCTCTATGAACACTTGGCTAGGCATGTGCTTTAAGCTATCTTTATCACAATAATATAAAGAAATTTGTATGTGAATGTTTGTCCAATCTGTCACGTCTAAACCGCAATATGGAGAGACGTAAAAATGTGTACACTTACTAACTGAAATCAGAGGAAGCTCATAGGCATGGTTTTACCGCAAAAATATACAGGGTGTTCAAATAGTACGGATGGATCAAAATATTCCGAAAAATACGATTCTTAGAAAAAACATGTTGCAGAACAAAGTTGTAATGTTTGAAATGAATCATTTAATGGTCATCTTGTCTGTGAGATTCAAGATCAAACCCCTATTTTTGACACCGAAAAATTTTACGTTAATGTCTTTGTCCATGACCTTGACCATGATCGACATGGGTATTTGAGGGTGTCCAGAAAGTAGAGAAAGGTCAAAATATCTCGAAAAATACGTTCCATAAAAAAATGGTTAATAAAGTTTAGGTTTTAAAATATTCCTCTAATGGTGACTCTAGCTCATTTGGAGGTCGAGGCAGTTCTCTTGAACGAAAACCCCTATTTTTTTGATGTCGGAAGTAAAAAGAATAAGGAAAATTATTTAGAAGTATGACCGCGACCTTGACCGTCAAGGTCATTTGAAGATCAAATGAATTTTCAACGCGAAACACTTATTTTCAATTCCTGAAATGCAAATTGCGGATAATTTCAAGTTCAAATATATCCTTGCCAATGAACCTAAGCATGACCTTCAAGGTCATTTTAGGATCAGAAAATTTTCAAGTAAACTCATTACTTTTTGTCGAGGATATAAAAAAGCGAAACATTGAAACTAATATTTTCCCATATTTGTCTTGTCAATCAAAATCACATGAGTTTAACATTTTTCACCGTTGGGACAAAAACGTATACAACATGGAAGAATTACAAACACATGAAAACCACAGGATAAGTTTCACAGGTTAAATTACTGAAATTAATTTATTGTTTAACTAAAATGTTCAAAGTATCTATCAACTTTGATTTTGAGAAACCATTTTCCTTCATATTATTACATACCGAATGACCTAAATTCATACGTCAAAAAACGAGGTTTGAGCGGTTATTCTTTTTGGCCATTTTTGCATCCGCCGCCAATGGATGATCATTTATTTTCAAAAACTACAAAACTTTTTCGTCCTTGGCATAATAGTAACCTTGTTTAAAAATTCCATCACAATCCGAGAGGTACTTTCCAAATTGGCGGATAAAGAAGCAGAGAGAGAGAGAGAGAGAGAGACCAACGGAAATGAATGGCGTGGTTTTTTTCATGACGAGAATACATGTGTCATAAAATCCAAAACACAATCTTATTCTCGAAAATTTTGGCGGTTAGAATACTAGTAAAAGCAAGCTAAATGGTCTATGCACACGTTTGAATTTGTGATGACTTGAGGATTCCATCAGCGACAACGGCAAGTTTATATTTGAAATCATTACCATACGGAAAGCTTGCACTACCCGGTATATTTGATTTATCAAGAAATAGACTGGAATCATTTTTGGCGAATACACAATATTATTTATTTAAAAATAGAATTATTGCTAATGCATGTAGAGTAGTGTGTAGTAAAAACACACTCAAGTGTTGCAGTAAATATAACGGAGATTCAGCTGTGCAATATCAGGAGCATTTTTTTCCTAATCATAAATATTGGTTTATTGCCAATCTAGGAGGTAGTTTATAGCATTTTTATGTGCCTGGAGGAAGTAAATAGCAAATATATCTTCTAAATCCAATCAAAAAAGACGTTTTTAGTACGAATGAGTCTTGATTCCTTCAT